TATGCATGTTGCGTTATCTTTATATATAATCGTAGTATTCTTCTTGATTTCTTTCAAACTGCATGCTCCTTATATGAGATTGATCATCAATCTCTATCATGCTCGCTCTCGATCACTGTCGTATAATGCTATCAGTTCGGCTTGATTCCATGTTGTTGTTCGTGCTCGCTTAGTCGACTTCCAAGAAAAGTTGTATCACCATATGTGAACACATTACCTGTCTAATTTCACACTTAAAATTTTGGTACTACAAGGCCAAGTACTTCTTTGCCCTCTTCTGGGAGGCGATTAGAATGTTATGTATATATATATATGAATGAACAACCATGAGTATGTTCAAAGGATGAGCTTTATCCATATTTCAACGTGTTAACATCTTCTGGATGTAGTTTAACTTATGAACAAATGTGCCATCATACAGGTGTTTAAAATACAATCCTAAGTATAATTTGTCATGTCAAGATCTTCCATCTCAAATTCTCTCTTCAAGAGTTCAACAGTTTTTTTTCTATCTCTTCAGGAGATTTAATGATATTTATATGTCGACGTAAACTGCTATAATAAAGAATATTGAGAGCGATCCTTGAATGACAACACATAGGTTGATTTCAAAATTTGTATCTTTCTTTTTCGAGATATTCACTAGGTCAATTGTACCACATATGACCAGATTACTTAAGACCATTCCACGATCTCTTCACACATATCTCGATGCATTAATTTTACTGCTTCTGGCATTTTGAATCCTTCAGGGATTATTATCACACAGATGTCGATTTCAAGTGTCCCTTATAATTTTGTTATAACGACATCTATATCATTTATTTGAAGTCCTTTTGAGATTGCGAGGCAAATTAAAATTCTAAAAGGATATCTCATCCACTACTAGATAATACGTTTCCCCATAATCAACTCCTGGGATTTGGGAAAACTCTTGCCTTACAAGTAGTATTTCATATCGCACAATCTCATTCATTTTATTTCTGTTTATTACAGACACCCATTTTAAACCTATTGGTTTGACGTCTATGGGTGTTCAGACTTCAGGTCCGAAAATATTTCGTTTATCGAGTGACTTATATTCGACCTTCAAGGTCTTTTGCCATTTGGGAAATCATTTATGTAATATCTACATGTACTCTTCTTTGAGTTTTAGGCATGTAATCTCTTTTACTGATTACATCCATTGCCATAGCATATGCAAGAATATCATTAACACGTGTTTCATTTTGGTTCCATATTGTACAGTCTCGTACATAATTAATAGAGATCTCATTTTCATTCGGTACCGATGTTTCTTCAGGAAACTTATTCTTCTGGAATCATATTAGTCTCTTCCAGGACATTTACCTCTTCTGAGGTTTCATTTACTTCTGAAATAGTATTAGTCTTCTTCTGGGACAGTTACCTCTTCTGGGGTTTCACTTATAATCATATATGTGGTTTTACTAATAGCATTTTTGCTATCTTCATTTTCGTGGGTTCTTATATTTGAAACCAATTATTCTCCCACATAAATTGTTCAATAGTCACTTCTAGGACTACCTTAAATTGAGCGATGCATAAGATGCTGGTATACGTAACTTTGTCACTCTGCTCATATATGTGAATGCATCTAGTAATTCATTTGCTCTTCTTTGCAAATCAGACTTCAAAATTATATTGACCACTTCAGGAGTCGAAAATTTACAATGATGCATTTCATATAATTTCTTGTATTACCAGTCTTTCATTATTCTTATCTCCCCCTAAGACTGGGAATATTATTTCATCATAAAATTGACAATGAACTTACTTTGCTGTTAATATATCTCCTGTCAAAAACTCTAAAACATTTAACAATAGACGAGGAGTTATAGCCAATGTCAATACACAGTCTTCTACATTATATTGAATGCATTGTGGGGGAGAGGGCATATAACGCACACAATCAAACAATCAAATATTGTGAGAAGGGACAAACTTGTTTCTCTTCAGGAAATATCAAGTGTAAGAAACTCAAAATTTTGAAGATTTGACATTTTATTTATGGGGAAGGATTAATAAAAATGAACATGTGTATATAAAATACATGTGAAGAAGAACTTCAGGTTCTCATATGTTGGAACTACAGGTTCTTTATAATAAGACCATTGTTTTTTTTTATGGTTGAGAAAATATCAAAAATTCACTTCTAACCAAAGTGTTTACAATTGACACATAAAATTCATGATGAGCACTTTATTTGCAATATCTTAGTACAATCTTTTTTCTTGAACTTCAGGTTCACATCTTCTTTAATTGAAGAGTATATATAATCTAGCATATGTCATGGAAATTATCTTTCATTCAACTCCTTCAAAAACATTCTCTCAGTGTCTACCTACCATTGTGATATTTTGATAATTTCTTTTAATTAATGCCCACTAAGCATCTGCTCCAAATAATTACCACATAAATGAAGATTCAAAAACTAGTATAAAATGATTTGTTCTCATAATCAAAAGTATAGCCACTAATTCGATGCACTTTGCATATTAACTAGAGCTGCAGGCTCTTTTGTGACTAATGGTGTTCCACTTAACCTATAAATTATGTCCATAGGACGAATATCATAAATTTTGGGTTACGAGTTAATTGTCAACAAATATAACGATGCATCATATATAACATTTAAATTGTGATCACGAATAGTTGATGGGCCCGATCAATTATTTTTGAACAATTTCTTAATATATATGAAATGAATCTCAAGTTTCATTAGTAATAATCTCATAATAATCTTCTAATGAGAACAAGACTATAGGATCTTCTGGTCCTTATAATAACAGAAATTTGTTCTTCAAATAGTACTCACTTGAGTTCTTAATGATTTTTTTTTTCTTCACACCACAATCTAAAACGTGATAATTTAATTGGTTATGTTTAGGATAAAAACTAATTCAGTAAAACTTCTGGTTTACGTGAAAACAAATCTCGATAAAGTCTCATGTAATATTCATTTCCACTGGTATCTTAAACATTAATAGAGATACCTTAAACAATAAGGATTTAATTGTTTATACCCAAAAGAATATTCGTCAATGAAGGACAATAACTATTTTCTCAAAATATTCAATATTTATGAGACCTTTATTACTTCTATTATGCAGTTCTTATTATGCAATGCTCTTCTGGAGCTATCTATCCACACTAACTTCTTTTATCACAAGAGAAAAGAAGCTCTTACATCTAAAAAAATATAATATGCATAATCACTCCTTTGATTATAATATATTAACTACATCATTCTTCAGGAACATCGATGAGGAATCATATATACATTAGAACAAAGGTCTTGAAATATCAAAACGTCTCTTTTTAACGAGATTTTTTTTTATGTACTAAAATCAGCCACTTCAGGTGGTAATTGAATATTATAAGACCTTAGGTAGTATCTCATATACCCATATATTGTGTTTGATGAACATGTTGACTCTTATTTAATTTAGGAGATTATACATCTTAAGAATTTCTTTTCAGAATTCAATATTCTTCAGGAATATTTAGATTCAAATAGTCAATGTTTAAAAAAAATGTAATTCTATGTGGCTATAATAGTGACTTTGATGTGTCCATATGCATAACCTCAATAGTTGTGATAGCCTATTATATTCATGCATGTCAATCAATTTTTCACTCGCTTCAGGGAATGAATATGTAACATGATTTTTTTTTTCAAAAAAAATCTTTCCTAACAATGGAAAAAAAATGTAACCAAATATGGGGTATATGAATCTTTTTCTTACACTACCACTTTAGAGGAAATTAGATTCTCGAACACTATTTTGCAATCTCAAACCACATATAACATGCAATTACATATATTGGACACACAAATTTTATTGCAACTTAGTAATTGACATTAAAATATAATATCATTGCATAAGGAGAAAATGCATTGAACAATTTTTATTTAAAAAAAAATCATTAGGCCATTTTACTTCTGGAAAATGGTAAATGCATGAGCAAAAAAAATCTATTTTGTCAACCTCTTTGAGAGATTATGGACTTTAGAATAAATATCAAATTTGATTTACTTTGAGGATAAAATTTGACACTTCGATCAAAGTTTTCTTTTATATGTCATATACTCCGTACTCTGTATTTCTTATATACGAATCAACAAAAGCATTTATCACATTTGAGATCAAGTAATAAAATATGCATTTTTTTCACAAATATTTCATACCAAAGTATAAAAACGTAATGAAATATGTAGTGTATAGAATCTTTAACTTTCTATACTACAACATCAAAAGGGAAATTAAAAATCCAAACATTATTTTATAATCCCAAACTAAACACAATGTGTAATTAGATATTGGTCGCATAAACTTATTGGAATATATTACCCGGGAGTATATCAGAGTGGAATATGATGACGTCTCCAAAAAAAATTAAGTAAAACAAATTAATTTAAATATGAATCATTAGACCAATCTACTTCTGGAAATTGGTGAATTACATGTTCAATTTCTTCAATTTACTTTGGGGAAAATCAAATTTGAGATCAAATAATAAAATATACATTTACATATAGTGTCAAATTCACCTTTATCATCATTGAAATAGGCAAATATTAAAATGCACAATTTCATGTCCCTAGCATCAACTAAGAAAATAATCCATAATTGCATATTTGAATGCATTTTTTTTCAACACAAAATATGAATGAAGCAACCATTTTAACATTGATTTCCATAATATTCGTTAGATTTATTCACACAATATATCAAATAAAACCCAAGCTATGTGAATATAGTTTATACACCAGACCTCAAATTGAACTATTTTTTTTTCACACAAAGAAGGTCGAATAAACTATCATAATAATATGTTTGCACTTATTATTCGAATTTCATGATAATCACGTGTATAGCATGCACTGGAAACATAATAGAGCATATTCATCACTTTCAATATTCAATCTTCAAATTTTAATATGTAATTTTCATAAAATTATTACGAGTAATTTTAAAGTACTACGAGTAACCGATTTGCATATTAGTGAACACCTTATTGTGGCTACGTACACCTAATTAATTCAATTTTGATTATCAAATTATGCAAATTCAATATCTTATCAGGTATAAAAGTTGTGAAGCCATCTTCTAGATCATGCAAAGATATTGATATGCAATTTCAAAATGCAATATTTCTTAAAACTTGAAATACCTGGACCGTGTGAGAGAAAATTGTTGACATGCTCGTATAGGTAATACCCAGTAGGCTTTTGATTATCCGCTGCCTAGTCATTGGGGCCCAAAAGAAGATCTGAAGCCGTCATCCATTTACACCGTCGTCCGGTCGCTTCCATTTGTCGATGGATTTATTTTTATTTTTTTTCGTATTGGCGCCGCTTCAGGTTCAGTCTGTCACCGTCCAAAGCTATATGAAGAAAGCCTTCGTCGAGGTTCACAATATAGGCTATGGGGGGGTAACAATCACCCCTTCCTAATCATGGATTGTGCGGCAGAGAAGAAAGGAAAAGGAAATATGGGAGTCTGGAGGCGCCGCTATGTGGTGCGACGGAGGACAGAAACGGATTGCTGATATGCGGCGGAAGACAGAGGATGATAAATAATTAGGGTTAGAGACTATCGTGCTGATAACGTGTTGTGAACTGAATACTTTATTCATCATATGTCGGGGTATTTATACATACACGGGGAGAAGGTAAACTATAGGTAAACAAGGTAACCAAATATTCTAAATAATAAGAGTAATATATCTGCCATATTTAACATATACAAAGTATATGATTAAAGAATTTTACCAAGCTTTTGCTCACTTTTAAAACAAACTGTAGTTTTAAAGATAAAATTGTTACACCTTTTTTCATTTGATCGCACTAAAATTTATTTTTGAATAACAGCAAATTAAAGTAAAGCACTTTTTCCATTTGAATCCAATTCATCCATTTGTATTAAACGTACGTGAAGAACTTATTTTGGATTGTATTCAATTAGATCCCTAAAATAATGCTCACATTTACCTTTCTTTGCCTCTAGAATGACCAATTCTTTCTCCTACTTTTTATGAAGGAAACCTTTATCTGCAATGTGAAAATGAAAGTCATACTAAAAAAAGAGGTGTTAGGAATCATAAACATCACTTTAATTCATCCAATAACCCTTTAATTTTAATTCAACCAAAATAACATAAATTCCCTTTTGGGCTAGAATTCAACCAATAGCATGTAGCAAGCTATAACAAAATCAATTATGTAAATAGATAAGTTTAAGCACATGAAGAAAGAAAGAAAAATCTTAGAGGCTACTTGTGTAAAAGAGCTTGAAGTATTGGTACAACTTTAAAAATATTGGTAAAAAGAACTATTTAATTTTTAAAAATCAAAAACTGCAAACTTCAATTCCATAATACACATAGTATAAATTACAATTAACATTAAAATCATTTATATGGTGGATTATGAGACTTCCACTTACATGTTCATCCATGAAGATCATCTCAATAGGATGTGTGGCCTTCTCATCGCTATATACGGGTAAAGCATATCGTCTTATTATGCCGACCATAATGCCCATGGTGCACATAAATGCGAAAATCAAGCATAGATCTTATTAAGGTATGTAATTCAATATGAATTCAAGAAGGAAACCCAATATGAATTCAAGAAGGAAACTTACCATATGTTTATGTGCTTGCCTCGAAGCATAGATCAAAACGATTTTGTTTCTTTCAATGACAATGATCACACGTTTAACTGTAGCTTTTTGCTTCATATATACTGCATTCAAGATAGCAAAGATTGGAAAACATCTCGCGTTACCTATGGAGATCAAAATAAAGAACTAAAATCTAATAGAATTTTTGTAAATTTAATATCAATCTCCTCAATTAAATATGAATTTAAGATTGAAACTTACCGTATGTTTAAGAATGAAACGAATGTGAAAAAAATCTTGGCTGTACCTGTGCTCTGGCATCGCAGAAAGAAATGTTTCTGTCAACTGATCTCCCCTTCATTGCCTCCAATTAGAATTAAACTTACACTTTTAACTCTTTTTTTAAATAGAATTAAAAAAATTTAATACATAACTGTAAAAACAATAAAATAGTAGTCTTTCGTAATAAAATGAACATATTATGATTCTAAATAAGGCATGTAATCATCACACACCAAATTTATGAACCGGAAAGTATAAAGTTACCAAAAAAATTACGAAAATTGTGAATAGGAATCAAATAAATGAATTGAGTAGAAATGTTTAGGAAAATAAACCAAGAAGGATACTAATTGAATATGAATTAGATATGAATTTTGGAAACAACCCAATTTTCAGGGATTCTTGAAAAATAATCACAAAATATATAAAACAGGTTTTGTATTTAGCATTAGTGCTTTATCCATAATTTTTCCTTTAAACTAAGATAAATGAGCATGCTCAACTCGTGCTTGGGTATTCACTTCTTGCATAGAATCATTAGCATGTAAAATAGCTATAATTATTGACAAAAGATGCATAATCATATAGTCATAAAATGTATAGGCACTAGGAATTATAATAGATGTAATCTAAGTAAAAAGCTTCCACTATAAAAAGAAAATGGTAGAGAGTGAAACAAAAAAAACACTTCAAAAGGTTCTATGATTTGTAAAAAAACATATTATGAGAGGCAACACTCTTAGGATTAAAGCTCTACACTCCAAAATTATCTGGTATCATTCTATTTTAAATATTGAATGATATAATATCATACTCTGCTCAAACTGTTTACAAGTCAAGCGGATTATTTTGTGTGTGCCTCTTTATGAGGCTTTACTCATATTTATAATAATAGAAAATACATTATTCAACACTAATGTTCATCTCAAGTCATCCACCTGGGTAGTCTTCAACCCGGCCATTCTTCAAGTCATCCACCTGGGCAGTCTTCAAGTCGAGCAGTCTTCAAGTCAGCCACCCGGGCAGTCTTCAAGCCGATCAGTCTTCAAGTCATCCACCCGGGCAGTTTTCAAGTCATGATCTTACTAGTCTGACCCCCAACATCCACCCGGTCAGATTATCGGGAACGGTGAGGTTAAACCTGGTCAGACTTTAAGCCTTCTATAAATGAAGTCACAGTCCCACAGGTCTGACCCCTGACATCCACCCGGTCAAATTACCGGGGTCGGTGAGGTCAGGTGGGATCATACTTTGGTACCTCCCGGGAGCTTGTCAACTTACCGGGTGGTACCAATGGGTTATATCCAATAGTGTCAAGAAATTAAATATGCATTATTCAAATAATATTAAAACAAAACACAATTTGTATAAAAAAGTACAATAAAAGGTTTGAATCTCGCAGTTATGCTAGTCTTGCTTAGCAGGAAAAAAAGATGGACCCAGAAGTGGGGCATTGCCTATAGACATGCTGAACCTAGAAAAGGTTTGAAATCGCTCTTACACACCGTCATGAAATTCGATCGAGAAAGAATAGCATGCAAGAACGGTCGAACCTCTAAGTAGAAAAGATTCCAAGAAAATTAGAGGATCATTCATCGGAATGGTTCTTATGCCAGTATTCATAGGTATCCCCTTCTCTAGGAAGACTCACCTAAGCAAGGGACTATGTCCCAAGCCCAGAGCGAAGGCCATAAAAAACTTCATATCTAGAAGAGGGGTTCCGAAAGAGGGCCGGGGTGCAATATAATCAAATCCTAGAGAGAGATCGAAATCATCGAACATGGTTAAATCTCCAATTTTGTTTTGGTTCGGCCAACAACATTACAATGGAATAATAAAGGAATAAGAAAGCGTCCAAAAAGACACTACATAACATTTTATTATTCAAACAAGTACTCTGAATACATAAAAACTATTACAAACAAAAGATAACCAACGGGAGGAGGATATAAAACATCTGAGGGAGGCGGTTTCCTTGAGAGGAAAACCCATGTCTCCCTCTCACGGTACCAAAAGCTGAAGCTAAGGTAGAAGAATTAGCAAGACAACCAGATAGTCTCGTCACAAAGCATGCATCCGACCAAGTGTTGTTGTCCGCAACAAAAGAATGAGGCGACATCTCCAAGGGGTATCTGGAGGGTGTAAGTTGGATCATGCAACTCCAAGGGGAATCCCGAGAAGCAACTCCTTCACGACGGTCAGGCTTAGAGGACTCATCCCCTGATAATTGACAATGGGGGCACTCACAGAACGAGTTGGACAAAGTGTTGTTAGAGATTTTAATAGGATCATCAAGTCCAGCCAATTCAAAATAGGAAGATTCGTTGCAATCGGATTCTGTGGGGGTCTGTGATGGAATCATCTGAGTCAAAATCACTGAGAAGTGGAGATAAAGTCAGGAGACCAGAGTCATCCGAGTTAGAATCACTTGGAGTTGAAGAGCGGTGAACAGGTGTATCGCTCACGTCGGAAGACAAATTGTAGAAGTGACAGCACATAGCTGCAAAACTTTACAAAATATAGATCATAGTTCCTCCTTTATTATAGGGGAATGGAATCAACAAGCCAGTATTGTTCGTATTGGAACTAGAAACCATACTGGTTAAGTTTCTTTTGGAAAAGTTATATTGGAAAAGTTGCCTTGGGAAGAGTTTCTTTGGGATGAGGTTGTTGGAAAAGCTAGCGTTGAAAAGATATTCTAGGAACGAGATCAATCATTGGCTAGACTTGGGCCTTGAGAAGGCTTAATCTCGTAAGCGTGATGCATACAATCAACCATATGCCAATCAAGAGCAAGAAATCAAAAAACTATAATAAAATATGCTTGGAGGCAATGTATACATTAATAAGTGGAGCTTCAATTTGAATGGTCGTGCAAGATGTTTAACAGATGTTAGAAAAGGGAAGTGGGGAGATGGTTGCTCAAGGTGAAGTTCTGAGAGACTCAGCTTATCTAAGTCGAACTCATGATCAAGGCCCTCCATCAGCGTGTACATATCCCTCCTCCCCTGAATAAGTCACATCTAGAATTTGTAGGTAGAAATGTCTGTGATCATTGCTCGATCCTAGTCTAGTCGGTAAAGTTCCTTGAAGACGTCAAGGGAAACATCTTTACACGAACCTTGAAGGAGTCTATTTCATGAGATGACCTTAGGCCTATACCCAAGCCTCGACCAAAAACGCATCTTCACATATGATCATTTCCTTTCTTTAGCAACTAACTCCTCACCCAATTGTTGATTTGCATATTCGGTCTAGGTAGTGGCCTTTAAGAGCTTATTGTGCTTCATTAGGGGAGCCCGAAACATTTCAGATTAGAGAGTGTTCACCTTCTTCGTCTCATCGGCCTGAGCCCAGGCCTACATCATCATCACCGTAAGAGTGATAAGTAGGTCAACGGTCGGCCACCCAATGGGAAGGTCCAACCGTTGGACCATTTGTAAATGAAATCACTCCAGACACCGAATGGTTGACCGTGACCAGGCGGCGGTCCACTGCTCAAACCTTTTTCACAATTCATCTCGCTAGATATTATCAATATAGCCTCAAATGACCGATTGTCTCATCGAACGATCTATCGTTTGGACCGTGGATAAATCAGACTGTAGTTTTATAATGCCCGAATCAATGATCAAACATCAAATGTCACAGTTGACCGTCATGGGCCCCAGAAATATATTTCATGACATTTTAAATTATGTGACCTTATATTCTCCAAATTCATGAATATGGTGATTAATGCTAATAACCAAAAAGATATTTTTGGATGCTGTAAGCTAGATTACTTCTAATAATAAATGATATGGATTTGAGCATATAGATGTGGGTGGTATTAGGAGTTTAGTATGTACATACATTAGGTCTACGAACCGGTGAAGCAACTAGGAATCATTCTACTCGTGCATTCGAAAGTAGAAGAATATATATACCTAGACTTTAAAAGGCCAAAGAACAAAATTCCAAACCTGAAAAGAATCGTGCATAGACTCATACTTAGACATAGGAAGTCATATCGAGTCTGTCTCCACATAGAATGACTCGATCAGTATGATGTGAGGATAATATATGACGGTTGGATGAGATGATTGGTGAAATAATGGAACACAATTCTATTCAAGAAAATGATGACGACTTTCTCTTAGGAGTAACTCCACGTGAAAGCAAGGTTGAAATTAAGGGATGTTTCTATAGTCGTTTAATCATTTGTGAAATTATAAATATGGATCTACTTGATGATACATACAAGCTTCTTTTGTAGATTCTCACGTAATGAATTAAAGAAGCATTTTCTAAAATAAAGACGTATTAAAATTATAGATAAATGATGTTTGGTAATAATGATCTTGACCTTTAATAAATATTTTTGAATATGTATGAATATACGTTCATAATTGAAGAAATGCTTTTACACCTTGTCATGGTTGTGTAACTATATTGAAAATTATAATTAAAGATTTATGAAAAATAGAATAATAAATTTTCTTAATAAAAGGACTTAGAGGTGTTAAAGATTGTTATAAATGTAATTATGTGTTTCATAAATTATTCTTCGAAATATACTTTGTAGTACAACTTATTGGTTTCAATGAGTGTATAGTTTCATTTCTTGTTCATTTGTTGATTTTCTCATTTCATTTGTTTTGTTTTTTAAATTTTAAATTTTAAATTTCAACAACAACAACAACCCAGTTAAATCCCACCAGAGTAGGGTCTGGGGAGGGTGTGTGTACGCAGACCTTACCCCTACTCGAAAGTAAAGAGGCTGTTTCCAAAGAGACCCCCGGCTCAACGTCGAAAGTTGCATTGCTTGACTAACTGCTACTTCATTAATTAAAGAAGCACAGAAAGTTTAGAGATTTATTTTGATTTATTCCATCACACCCCAAAGCCAAAAAATGGTAAAATTTTGGGTCCATCGGAGATGATGGAAATTAAATTTTAAATTTCATTTTTTATTTTTTACATATATTATTAAATATCTTTTAGAATAATGATAAAAAAATTAATTTTTCTAACAGCAAAATCCAAAAGCTACTCTCCATAGCTTTTCAGGTTTCAAATTTTTGAATCAAACATTCAATTGAAAAAGCCTTTAGTCAAACATATTTTTGGCGGTTGGATTAGTAAAAAATACCAAATTCAATCAAAATGCCATAATCACCCGAAATACTCACTTCGTCTTTAAATAGATTACAAATTTTTTTTTCTCCTTTCGATAACTTTTGTTTGTTTACGCGATTTTATTAAGTATTTGATAAAATAAAATATTCTTGTCACCTCTTATTTTGTAGAATTTTTGATGTAGTTTTTTAATATGTAATTTTTATATCTTATTTATATACTAATTTGAAAATAAAATAATTTCAAAAAGTATGAAATTTGTAATGAAATTGGGTAAGGAGCGAGTACTATTTTCCGCCACTTAGGCTGATAGTGACTAGTGACTGAGCAGCAGTTTTTGCTCTCCCATCTTCTCCATAATCTTATTTATATTCTGTGATTTTCCAGATATTGTCGACGAAACAATGGCCACCGCCGTAGCACGTTTGAGATCGCTGCTGCCGGCACACGACTGCGGCGGCGGCCGCCGGTGCTGTTTTCCAGCCACGCGCTTCTTCTCTTCATCCAGCTACACCTCTCATCTCTTTGATGTGAGCTCCCTTTCTTCTCAATCACTGTATATTTCAAATGCTAAGAATCATGCTGTTTTTTTTGTATTTGTTTTTTTTAAACATATTTTTTTGCAATCGCTTGAAGTGGTTGAAATGGGGTAAATAGTTTTGCTCAAGCGCCGTGCTTTGATCTGTGATGCAAATAGGCTTTTCAAATTATGAATGGCAACAATAATCATGAGAATGAAATTTTGAAGAATAAGTATTGAGCTGAACCTATCCAAAAAGAGCAGTTCTGAGTTTGAATTATGAATTTATTGCATTTTCTGTTTTGTTATTTTTTTTCTTCAGAAGATTGGATTTGTAGGACTGGGGAATATGGGATCAAGAATGGCTGATAATTTGATAAAGGCTGGATACGATGTTGCTGTTCACGACATGTAATGACATTCATCTTTCTTTTTTAGGTATCGATATAGTACTCCCCCATGTTGAGCTGGCTTGCTTGCTCTGATTTGCTTCTTCATTTTCTTTTACATTCAAGCAACCATGATGTTCGGAAGAGGTTTTCTGAAAAAGGAATTGCTACAAAAGAATCACCAATTGAAATCGCGGAAAGAAGTGATGTTGTGATTACAATGTTGCCATCTTCACGCCATGTGAGCTATACTATTGTTTACTCCGGGTATTTTTTTTCTTTGCGATTTTGAGCCATATTACATTGCGTCTAGGATTTAAGAATGATCTTCTATTACTGAGTTCACCAGAACATATACCAGGTTGTTTTCGGCCAATTTCAAGGAGGATGAAACATGATATCCACTTTCATAAACATCTTATTCCTAATAACAATTATTCCTTGAAAATAAGTCACCCAAACGCTTTTATAAGCAATACCATTACCCTTGCTGCTACTCACAAAGGCTGTATGTGTGAGATCACTATCATGATTTCTCTATATATCCCCCCCCTCCCCCCCCCACACACAAATCTTGTAAAAGATCCAACAAGAAACAAAATATAATAGGGCTTAAATCAGTGGAAGACATGGAGATGGACATCCTGACGCGGGGAGTTGCACCAGGGTCTGCCCTTAGCCCTTTCTTGTTTGCCTTGGTGATAGACATCCAGTCCCTTGGTGCATGCTTTTTGCGGATGATAATGTGCTTATCCATGATACATGGGAGGGCCTAAACGATAAGTTAGAACTTTGGCGCCTTTCCCTGGAAATCAAAGGATTCAGACTCAGTAAGACCAAAATTGAATACATGGAATGTTGTTTCCATGGCCGGGAGACGGATTCAGGGGTGGAAGTGAGGATTGACTCTCACCTAATGCCCAAGGTTGACAAGTTTCAGTGTCTTGGCTCGGTCATTCAGGCACATGAGGTGTTAGATCATAGATGGAGATCTTGTGCACCGTGTTGGAGAAACTTATGCCAAGTGGAGGGAGGTTAAGAAGATTCATGTACGTGCGACATCTGCATGCGACAGAGATGTGAATGTTGCAGTGGATGCGTGGGCAGACGAGGCTGGATAGAATTTAGAATTCTGAACGGGGTTAATCGAGGTTGGTTAGGCATGATGCCACTAACGCCAGTGGAAGCTAAGCTTCGGGAAGCTAGGTTGAGGTGTTTCGCATGTGAGACGGTGGAATGTTGACGCTCCTGTGTGGAGATGCGAGAGGCTTACGTTGGTAGGGAGAAGTAGGGGAAAGGATAGACCTAGGAAGAGTTGGAAGCAGGTGATTAGACAGGACTTAGGACTGTTTGCCCTTACTCAGGATATCGCCTTAGATATGAGCGTTTGGAGAGTTAGGATTAGAGTAGCTGGGTAGGTGCCTTGAGCTAGGGGTGTTGTAGTTGTGTGCTTTGTAGACCTTTTATGTTTAGTGATTTTTACCATTTGCTTGCAATACTCTCATTTCGTAACTTTACGATTTAGTTTTTATTCTGTGTGCTTGGTGCTTTATTGCGTGTATCTGTGCTTTCCTCACTTTATGTATCTATTGTGATCCTTTTTATGTTAAGCTTGAGCCGGGGTCTCATGGAAACAACCTCTCTACTTTTGGGTAGGGGCAAGGTGTGTGTACAGCCGTACACACACCCTCCACAGACCCTACTTTCGTGGGATCCAATTGGGTTGTTGTTGCTTTGCTCTTTGCTTGGACATGAAATACTACTCCGTATTAGAGTGTAATTCACACACACATACTATTATACTTTTGTTATGGTAAATGTATAGAGTTTGTATTCTCATGCCAGATTTAGACTTAGTTATTTTTCCTTTCGATTCCAATCATGCAATTTAACATCTACTTTCTTAGGTAATTGATGTCTATACTGGAGAAAATGGTTTGCTTGCTGGTGGAAGTTCAGTTAGACCGTGGTTATTCATAGACTCTTCCACAATTGACCCTCAAACTTCAAGAAAAGTATCTACAGCTGTCTCTGACTGCTTTTTGAAAGAGAAGTTAGGTACATTTATGAGAACTATAAACATACAATGCCTTCATGTTCCATCTGTCTACACCTACACCTTAAGTACATGTTTAAGATTTTAGAATACTGCTCCCCATCTATATCCTTCTTGGTTGTTTGCTCTAACTTTTGGTTCATGACTTTTTCATATCTACTACTGATTAGTTCTTATTACCTAAAGCTAACGCATAATTCTTGTCTCCAACTCTTTCTTTATTCAGTTATTCTTGTAATAGGTTATGCTGGATCACACATAATGTCATAATCTACTTACATGGATCTTGGAAATGAGATATGATCATAAATAAAGGCATAGACCTTTGATGCCATGGAATGAGCTCAGGGTTTCAATGCATCTTGGGTCTTTTATCACTTTAAATGGTTTTCTAATCATTAACTATATAATTAGTTAATTACGAAATTAATTTATTGAAGCTTGAAATCATCAAGATTCCACGGCCTCCCTGTGATAGTACGATCTCATGTACCGGTTGACAATAGTGTAGGAGATGGCCTGTTATCCTTTTATACTTGGTTGGGATTACCTCATAGGCTTTGTTTTTCCATCGATCCAGCTAAATCCATTCTGGCATTCTTTGCCTCTGAAATTTCCAAGATTTTTGTCTTCAAACCTTATGATGCCAACAATGTTCATCAATCTTGATGTGATTCCTCGGGTTAATAATGCTAGTTTTGGTAAGAAAGGTGTCCATATCATTTGTAAATTATAGCAAAGTATTTTTTTGTTTACAGACAGCCAACAGGCTCCTTCCATGCTTGATGCTCCCGTGTCTGGTGGTGTTGTTGCTGCAGAGACTGGAAGTCTTACTTTCATGGTATCTATATTTTTTCTTCAAAGTAAATGAGCCCTTTTTTCAAAAGGTAGTAATTGAAGTGAAATGATGCAGAAAATTTTCTGTTGTGAATACGGTTGTGTTTTAAATGAAAAAGATATTCCTGATATGCATTCCAAGTCAATTAACGCCTTGATAAACCAGACAAATTGGTTCACTCTTCTTTTAATTGATTAAATGATGCTGGTTTATAGCCATTGTATCTCAGCATGAAATCTAATTTAAGTGGAGTGAACTTAAATTTCTTCATGAACAAAGAAACTAATCTCTGAAAACTACGGAATACAAAGTTCCAATGTTCATAAGGTGCATATGAAAAAGTATTGCAGCTCTTTAAACATATTCCTGGTTGTCCTGTTTACACATACAATGAAATTAAGTTGTTGAAAATGACTGGTTTGTTGGTATAACATCTCATTTCCTGCTAACAGGGGTTTCCCTGTAGGCCTGCACCACTGTCATTTCTCATATAAGAATGGGTTTGGTATCAGATGTCTGGCCTAGTAATGGTTGCCTCATCTCAACTCAAGCGAGTTTTGATCGTTTAAACAGATTAATAAATAATATGATGTTCAGGTTGGTGGCTCAGAAGAAGCTTACATGGCTGCAAAACCCTTGTTTCTATCAATGGGGAAAAACTCAATTTATTGTGGTGGACCTGGAAATGGTTCGGTATGTGCGTATACTGTATTCAACGTTGATTTATTATTTACTACTCCCTCCGTTCCAAAAAGAACATCACAGTTCACTATTTAAAAATCATGAGAACTTTTGTTTATTTGTGCGTTTTCATTGATTATTTGACAAAATAAAATATTCTTGCCACCTCTTGTTTTGTAGAACTTTTGACGTATTTTTTAAATATGTAAGTTTTATTTTTATTTCTATACCAATCTCTAAATAAAATGAATTGAAAAAGCTTGAAATTTCACTTCGTTTGACGTAATGTGATGTTCTTTTTGGGACGAATGGAGTATATGATTCTGTGGAGCTGAATCCCTGTATGCTTGTTAATTTATACCAGACAACCAGTTATGTTGTCAAAACTATCTGTTGGAACTTCCAGACGGCCTTTCCTTCAATTCTCATCTTTCTCAATGCTTTAATGCAACTTCATTGAATCTAATCAGTTCCCTTTGCGCAGCAATTTTTCCTGATAAAACATCTCTCTCTTTGGAACTTATTTCAGACAGCAAAGATCTGTAACAATTTGGCAATGGCTGTCAGTATGCTTGGGGTATCAGAAGCGTTTTCCCTTGGGCAGTCACTAGGAATCACATCAAGTACACTTACACAAGTGTTTAATTTTTCCAGCGCTCGCTGTTGGAGCAGGTATTAATTGCAACCTATTTCCTCACCAAGCATGGAAATTTACAGAGGCTGTTCCCAAGTAGAGCTCCACCAACCGTGACCTGTAGTAATTAAAACTAGTAAAAAACAGTAATACAATTCAAAACTAGTGACTAAAAACATATCAAAATGTAAAATGTCAGAAAAAACCAACCAAATGTTGGACAAAATGAATGAAATATCTTTCGGAGGTACTCCAGTCATAGGAAGACAGGGACGGAAGTGTTATTTGGATGGTAAAATTGCTAGTCAACAGAAGTGTTGCGATTATACTTGGCTTTGGAAAACTCCTAGTGCAGGGAAAAGATTTCAGGCACCTCGGCATTTTCTGCCAAATGGATGCCTAAATTTCTTCCAATCACATTATTTATTTCTTAGTATGGATTGTGACATTGTGTCTTGCATTTATGAGAATGCAAATGACAGCAACACATATAATCCTGTTCCTGGTGTAATGGATGGAGTGCCCTCTTCAAGGAATTATGAAGGAGGTTTTATGTCGAAGTTGATGGTATGTGGCTTAATATGCAATATTTAAGGGATTAAGTCTGGAATAAAATATTTTTATTTTTCATGTGTGGTCCCCCCCCTTTTGTTTCAGCTTAAAGATCTAAACCTTGCTCAGACATCAATTAAAAGTGTTGGACTCAATTGCCCCTTGGCATCACAAGCAGCGGAGATGTATGTCTTTCATTGAAATTTCTCTTCTCCCTCCCAACACATTAGAGATTTTTTACTTTTGGTGTGATTTTTAGTAAAATAGATAAAAACAGTTTTTTGGAAATTTTCTCGCAAATAAGGTTCACAATCACATGAAGTCAAAAAAGTCTGAAGTACAAGAATAAGAATTGATTGGAGAAATTAGATAGTTAGGTACAGTACTAAAATAGCAGTGTTTATATTAGAGTAAACATTACAGTATTTTGGGATAACATTAAAACAAAAGTATGAGAAAATAAGAAATCAAATTGGACTGGGGGAGTAAAGTTTGTAGTATTTTGAAACAACTGAACCTTTTGGATTTGTGTCCATTGCCAATGAAGCTAAAAGAGTCATTATTGTCAATATTTTAGCTTTGCGCAAATAATGGACTAATATCATAATCACACATTAAACTTTCTTTGCTTCTCACTTGTATGATGTTTTGGGTAGTAAATGCAACAATAAATCAAGGGTTTAGAGGAGATAGTTTCTCATATTTTTGCAGGGTAAGACTGCGTAAATCTTAACCCCAAGCCCCAATAGAGTTGGGGTGATACAGTTTTTATACAGTTTTTTTTTGTTGTCTTTGTTTTCTTTTAGCTTTTAACCGGCATAAATTTTGTTAAGTATTTGATTGGAGAGGTGGGAGTGGAGGGAAAATGAATCCCTCCCCTCATTTTGTTCAAAATATGCTTTTAATGTGGGATCAAAATTTTAGTTCCCACATTAAAACATGTTTTGAACCAAATGAGGGGATAAATCATTTTCCCTTCCCGCCAATCAAAAACATCCACACTGCTTTTGAGACTGCTAGTGCACACCATCATCTTCAAAATGTTAAAAAAAAACTATTCTAATTATTAACCTTGGTAATAATTGTAGCATACATTTACTAACTATCAATAATAATTTTTATAGTAAATTCCTTAAATGATCCCTAATTACATGTGATTGTCCATATATAGTCTCCAATTCTAAGATATTACATAAATGGTCCTCAAAATTTAAATTTTTTTCCATAAATAGTCCTTTAGGCCAAATATGACAATATTTTCCCACATATAGTCCCTGAAGGACCGATTGTGGAACACTTTTCAAAAATTGAGGACCATTTATGTAATATCTTGGAATTGGGGAGTAAATATGGAAAACTACCTATGACCATTTATGAAATTTACTCTAATTTTTAATGGACTTTTCAACTAGATATGCAAAGCTATGCCGTGATGGTTATGAGAACGAAGACTTCTCGTGTGTTTTCCGTTATTATTACTCTGGAAAGGATGAGCATCTAAACTAGAGATTTTCTTGCATCTTTGGATCTCAAAAGCCGGTAATTGTTAATCAAGTAAGCCTTTTTCATATGTATATTCACCATATGCAATGCACTTACAATTGTAGACTGTTCTCTGTAATTTTTCTGCATCCATACTTTTTAGTTTATCAATGAACTAAGAATATATTGGTCTTGTTTCTCTATAGGACATCATAATCCCATGTAATTCAATATTCCTTTGGGAGAAGTTCTATTGCTCAGTCTCTTCCTATTGCCTGCACAGTTTTCAGTAATACTCCGTGTATAATAGCGAGTCATGTCTGTTCAGTTGAGAACAATTTGAGACCAAACAAATGTCAGTTATATATAATAGCACACATGGTTTTGTGGCCGACTGGTTCCTAATATGGTTTTTTCTTCATATCCTACCCATAGTTATGAATGGTGAGTGACGAGTGGCGGGCGAGAGGGCGTTTTAAGGCTCAACAGTGAAAGAAAATTACACAGATCATGCACAGTCCAACCCAGGCATTAGAGCCTCGCCACAACGCCATAACCGCCATAGGCGAGCATGGGGTTCGCCATTCATAAATATGATCCTACCAATGTCTCATGGGCACACAATCACTGACATCTAAACATTTGTTTTTGGTTGCAAATGTGATACAGGTGGATTAGTTAGTTAACGAAGTAGTTAGAAGTTATTGTGTTTGTTAGGGTTGTTAGCTGGGGTAGCTGTTATAAATACTCTCTCTATCTCTGAAAAGGGAATCAATCAAGAAATGAAATTATATCCTCAACACTATCTTTCTCATCTATTTCTCCTGTTCATTTCCGCCATTAATGGTCGTTCGGTCTTCTTCGAAGCTCTCCTTCTAAATTTGAGTAGCTTCCTCCAAGACTGTAACATTGCTATCAGAGCAATTTGATCTCGGGCGCTGATCAGATTCTATCTCAAATCAGGTTTTCCATTCCTGATAGTCGGTCCAGATTTTTGAAGCGTTGATATTGATCAAACCAGATTCTATCTCAAATCAGTTGGCAGATCGATTAATGTTTGCTGTTGATCTCTGATTCTTATTCATTCGTTAATCAATCTAACCTAGGCGTGTGCAAAGATCAGAATGGAAGGTGTTCTTAAGGAGATACTCGATCTGCAGAGAGATTGGATGGCCAGTCAACTGCTCGAACATCCACGTGCAATGGAGGAGCAGTTTTGATTACTCACAATGCCACTGCACAAGCTTCAAAACATCTGCAGGAAGCTCTTCTATCCACATCGAAGGTAGAAATCAATGCCCCTATAATCCTAGAATTGATTTGCCTATGTTTGTGGGGGTAATCCAAGAGACTGGATCAAGAAGTGTGGAAAATACTTTATTTTGTGTGAGGTTCCTGATATGAAAAAAGGTGACTTTAGCTTCAAATCATTTGGAAGAAAAGGCTAAGATGCGGTTTGAAAGTTATAGACAAGCTAGACTTAATGTGGAATGGGAGGATTTCATTGTAGATGTGTATGCCAAATTTAAATATGATAGACATGATGTGTGTTCAAGATTTAGTGGCGAGGCTGATGTTGAGGCAGTGGCTGCTCACCAAACAACAACACCTAAACTTGTTGGGCCACTCAATCATGTGCTACCAGATAGTGTAAATATTTCATTGGACAATCACCTTGATGCTGCATGTTTGAAGAAGAATTTTGACACTACTCCTTTCAGGACCAATTCCATTGTTGTGGTCAAAGAAGGCAAACATGAAGCTGTGGAAGCAATTGCTCTTGATGACTCTAAGTCAGTGGATAAACCGGAGTCAGTGGTTGAGGCCAATTACACTGTGAGATATCAATCTTCTAATAGAAAGAGCCAGTTTCCATCACAAAGAAATCCTGCGTTTATACCTGTTGCTATAAGAATTGAGGAAATTGCAAAAGGATGTGGCTAATACTGTGATAAGCCATTGGAGGAAGGACATAAGTGTGAAAGTAAGGTGACTCGGCCCTTTCTGATGGGAATTCTGAGAGAAAGAAGCTGATAAGTTTGAGATGTCTGATTGCAACCCAATGGCTGACAGTGATCCATCAATGTTAATCCATGATATTTTTGAACGCAATGTATATCAGATGATAAGGGTCACTGATCAAGTGTGTAACAAAGAAATGCAACTGTTGATAGAGTCAAAAAACATTCATAATTCTATAGATTCTAGTCATGCTATAAAAGGGTGGGACACTACCTTGAAACCATTACTGTTTCTAAGGAGGCAGCGGTTGATGAGTACAATTTGCAATGGACACAAGTTTGTTGGGATGTCAAATGTTTCAAATGGAAACTACAAAGCACAGATTTCAATCATGACAGAACACCTACCTTTAAGAAAGGTGAGCATAAAAAAACAGTATACGGAGGAAGGACCCTCTCATGGGTCCAAGGAAGCAGCTACTATACTTCAACCTCTAGCGGTACTAATTAGGATAGAGTGGTTGATCCCCTGGGTAGGACAATCTGTGCAAGAGGCAACCTGCAATAACTCAGCCAGGACACAACGGTTAATTCCTTGGGCACAATGGATTCCTATGATCAGCTCCACCATAGAAGGTGATCTTACCAACCAGATTCCTTGGGCACAATGGATTCCTTCCTGGCTTTTGGACAAAAACAGTGCAGATCATTATCCAACGGTTACAAAAGTGTTTCACATTACCTCCCTACTCTTGACAACAACCGCAATTGAAGAGAAAAAGGTAGTTGGTTAAAAGTCTGGCTAATTTGCTTGGGTACTTAAGAAGGGAGCTTCTCATTTCCTTCAGGCTCAAATCAAGGGGAAGCAACTGGCTGGCCAAGAATAACAAGTGAACTTCAGTTTTTCAACCTCGAGGACAAGGTTGTTTAAGGGGGGTAGTTACAAGTTATTGTGTTTGTTAGTGTTGTTCGCTGGGCTAGCTGTTATAAATAATCTCTCTATTTCCGAAAAGGGAATCAATCAAGAGATGAAATAATATCTTCTCCCTCAACTCTATCTCTCTCATCTATTTCTCGTGTTCATTTCCGCCATTAATGGCCGTTCGGTCTTCTTCGAAGCTCTCCTAAATTTGAGTACCTTCCTACAAGACCAACAACATGCTATGTGACAAAGCTCAAATAATGTCTCTTTTAAAGATTGACATACTTTCAACATGGCTAATGAATGTTGTTCATTGTTTTTTCATTCTTCTTAATTTATCTAGAAATCCAACAATAATTTTTTTAAAAACTGCGGGTCACAAATGTTACCAAATACATGAACGATGGTTTTTGAGCTATCGTTTATGGGTCGAGGAATTGTTGACCGTGTGCAAAAATGGGTGAATGGCAATCAAGAAAATAGTAAAAAAGTTGGTTCTGAACAGAGTTGATGTTGTCTGTTGCCCAAATGTGCAGTTTGTTATGACAATATTGTCTCTAGAGTTAGTGTCTCCCTGTAGCTATTTATTTACCTTTTGGGAGTTTTTGGCTTTACTGATGTTGTTAGAACTTAGAAATCTCATCCCCTTTATCTTTATGCAGCATAGTAATATCATCTCATGCCCTTTATCTTTTAGAAGCAAGAGTTTTGTTAGGAAACAAATTATTTTAGGGTTTGATGTGTCTACCATATTTAGATGATTCTCTGTGTTTGGGAAGCATAGAAAAAATGAACAAAAGCGGAATAAATCTTTTCCCCAAATAAATAGGATGGGTGACAAGACTCGATACGACTTGTACACTCCACAAAATCAGCAACACGCACACACATTTTACGTTGAAACATCAAATCGGAGTAAAAAGTCATGTGACTGTTCAAGGACGGCATCAGAACTTCCACTAATCGCCATGAATCAAGTGGATACGAAAAGTTCTTTCTCTGTATCAAATACTAGAGGCAAATATGCAACCTTGGCACAACAAAAATCTACAATATCACCATATGTGAAGCAAAACACCCAAAAGAGTGCAGGTTTGAAAAGCTACTACTCTTTTTTCCCTTTTCTTTTTTAAATTGTCCTGCAAAATCCTTTCCGTTTCTATTTAAAAATCATTTTTACCCTTACTAATTTTTAACCTACTTATCACATCATACCTTTTTACTAATAATCTATACACCACATCTTACTTTTACCTATCACATCAAGGGTATTTTTGGAAAGTCAACACAAAAATATCTTTCCCTTAAATTTCTTAAAAATCAAAATAGACAGAGAAAGTAGCAAACTACCTTCTAAGCATCAAAATGAAAATTTGACTATTGGATATGTAGACGTGTGGGTGTGACCTTTTTTATTTCTATTAGCACATCAGCACCATCATGAAGTATTATCATCATGATGATCATCTTCATGGGTGTCATTAACATGATGAGCCCGGTTCCATGGCCACGAAAGCCACTGCCTTCCTACGGAGTTCTGTTCATAAAATTGATGATTCCTACTCTTCCTAAACCCCCGGTAAACCCCTCTGCCAAGTCCCGACCCAAACTAATCACCACACCTACGTCAATTGCACCTCGTAAGTATATAGTCAAAAGTTTTGACTTTAAAGTCAATTATACTTACGAGGTGCAATTGACGTAGGTGGAGTGATTAGTTTGGGTCGGGACTTGGCGGGGGTTTACTGGGGGGTTAGGGGGGTAGGAATCATCAATTTTATGAACGGAGCTTCGTAGGGGGGCAGTGGTTTCCGTGACCACTGGAATCCAGTGGCCATGGAACCGGGCTCTAACATGATTATGCATATCTTTCCCATGATCATGATGGCCTACAACATGTGGATTAGATGGAGTTAGATCAATTATGATGCATGAATAAAGAATTTGCTCATTTTATCTCACAATATTCAACTATCTAATCTTCAAAGAAAACATCTTTGCTTTTGATAACTTTTGTATCACATGAATCACATATCATGTACCTAAACTTTAATAGAAAATGTACTATATGATCACATTATCAAGCTTGGATCTTTCATTTCTAGGAATATGAACAAAATTACTCTGCAAACAAAGACTCTCAAATTGCTTATAGGAGACATTTTTCTTGGACTAAACTCTCTAAGGAACATCGCGTTCAAGAGGAAATGAAGGGTAAAGTATTATCAGGTACACTGCAGTGACCATTAATTCTCAAAAGGGTCCCGAATAAGCATGGTCATCTAGTGCTACCATAACTCCAATATCAATTAAACCAAACTCTGTGTGTGTTTGAACCACTAGTTTAACTTGAACCATTAGTTTGACTAGTGAACCAGGTTTTTGACCAATTAGATCACTGATTCAATTCTGAAAACTATGCTTCTTAGTTATTTGGAATATTTGACATTTTTTTATTATTTCTCCGTTAATGCACTGCAATTTTTCGTACTACACATTTTTTACCCAAAATTAACTAAAAAGACTTTAAAAACACAATAATTTTCTTAGGAAAAGAGTGCAATGTTTTGATAATTTACTTTTTATACCACAACTTTTCAAAGAAGTCTGCAAATCACAATGTAACACAAAATTAATTTTAGATAACGATAAATTCAAAAAGATGAAAATATTTAAGATGATTTAACTTAAAGAAATTGAAGCATGCGCGTTTGACTTTTTTTTCTTAATATGTTTAATTAAGTTTCTTTTTAATTACTTCCAAAGCGCGTGAGAAATCGTTCAAAGCATTTTTTTTCAACACGTCTTGATAATTATTAACATAGCAAAAAATCTCTATATAAATCATTAAATATAAGACTTTTCACTTTTTTCTCTTTTGACTTTTTTTTTCCCAGTTTTACTCCGTAGTTTCATATTTTTAGCATCTTTGAAAAATATTTTCTACTTTTTCATACTCATAATAACTTTTGGAAGAGAATTTCAAGAAGCCAACAAATAAGAAAACATATACGGAGTATAAAACTATTCCTATTTTATCATTATTTTGTCTGCTAGATTTTATCAACAAAACAATCAATGCTAAAAACTCTATTATAATTATTATAGTGTCTGTTTGCGTATATTTATTTTTGTCAATTTTTTTACTCGCCTCATCCCAAATTACATTGCTCGTTTACTTTTCACAGGGTCAGACTACACTCACTTTCTTATCTCTTTTTTCGGTAGTCATTTGATAAAATAAATTAGTCATATCATCACTGGTTTAGTTATTCTTTTGATGTAGTATTTTAATATGCATTTTTTAATTCTGAACTATTTTTCATATAAAATGATTTGAAAATAATTTCAGTCAAACATTGTAGACCAAAACAGGTAATATAAATTGAGACGGAGTATTTCATTTATAATAAAAATTGACAAATTGTTTTAGGACACACTCCGTAGTGATTCTTTTATCTTCTCAAGTTACACAAACAGATATCCGTCCTTCCATGAAACTGAAGCTACTTCCAAAGTTTGGATGGTGAGAAATGGGAGAGAAGGAAAAAGAAAGGACAGAAAATACATTTCTTTAGGTGTTTTTTTTTCTTCTAAGGATAAAAATGTCATTTTACTTTATCACATTTTCTTTCCTCTCACATTTCTCTTCATCTACTAAAATTAGTGTGTAGGGCTTCAACGGTAATTTGTTGTATTGAGCATTTCTCCACTTTGTTTGGAACATGTCATAGTGACCCATAAATTAGGAAAAGTCAAAGTGTACAATTGGTATTTATATAAATTTGTTGTATACTCGATAGAGGTGCTTCAATATAATTTTGCTTTTGGTTCAAAAAAAGATAAATGAAACAACATAATCATGCTAGTTATCATTCAATTAGACAAAGGATTGACAAATTATGAAACATGAAATTTTGAAGACCCGGGATTCACAAATTATAAGTTTGTGTATTTTTTGACTTTTTTGTTAGAACATTCTCTTGTGTATGAGTCTTTATCTAGTCAAATGCCTCGATACTTCTTATCAGACTGCAAGTAAGACAAAATAGAAAGGAATACTAATAAATCTTCAAGGGTAAATGCATAAAGATTCTTACCAAAAAGTATTTAAACAAATATCGATTCATTGAAGTTATCTTCCAGAATTAGGCCAAATTAAAATTTAATACTCCCTTCATCCATCTGGGGAATAAACTTTTCACTCTACCTTTTTTTCCGTTCTAAAAAAATCTTTTCACTCTACTTTTCAACCCACTCTTTCAAAAATATTCTTATAAGAGTGTAAACGGATATTAATCGGATCGGATGTGTCATTACCAAATCCATATCCGTTTATTTTTGTCGGATATCAAATTCAGATACGGATCTTGACGGATACTGAAAATCAAAACCGTATCCGCATCCGTCGGATCGGATATCGGTCGGATGCCGGATATATCCGTTTCCCGTTTTTAAAATCAAATTAAACAATACTTTACCTTTAAATTAGATTAAAGTCAAACTATTATTAAATCAACTATAATATAATTTGATATGGAATAATTATTTTCTTTTTTTCATGATTTATGATATTCTACGATAACTTCATATGACAAAAAGATATACACATCACACATATACACATATTTTTATATGTCTGTATATATTTTTATGTGTCTACACATTTATTTTGTATATAAAAATGTATTTATTTTGAAATATCAATAGACAAACAAATTATAAACATTAAAAATTAGGAAAAAACTATATATAACGGATCAGATGTTCGGATAAACGGTTATTTAAACGGATGTATATTCGGATCGGATTTTAAACGGATCGGATATACAATTACCAAATCTGTATCCATTTAGTAATCGAATACGGATAATATCCGTTTAAAACGGATGCAGATATTTCCTCTTTAAACAAATACGGATGCGGACGGTAATCGTATTTTCGGCTATCTGTTGACAGCCTTCACCGGAAAAATGGCCGGAGAATGATCAGAGGGGGCACGGGTGCAGCATTTTGAAACCACAAGAACTTTTGAAATAAGTTTTGAAAACAGAGGGGGTTTTGGTGCCTATTTTGCAAACCACGGAGGTACTGGCGCTATTTAGCCGATGTATGATCTACTAATGTAATGAGTATATAGTGCATGCAATTGTTGTACTTTCCTTAGAAGTGGTTCGGCCTCCCTCTTTCTCCTCATAATTTTTTTTCCATTAAGGGTAATTTAGGCCGTTCATGCCTTAGCCAAGTACCAATTATAAATGAAGAAAAGTCAAAGTGGGAAGTTGATTCCGGGACGGAGAGAGTAATATTTTCTACTCTAGCCTAAATTTTTTACATTTTTTGTTTGAAATGAAATTTTGGGATATAACCTTCGATCCGATCCTAAGGCCATGCGGTGTGCCATGCGAGATGCCTCATGGCTGGGGAAGACGGCTTCCTCATCCCATTTTTACCGTTCGATTTTTTTGCGTCTCTTTTTTCGGTTTTTTGTCTCTTTTGCTTCTTTATTCTTTCATCTTTTTTTGTGTTGCTTCTTTCTATTATCTTTTTTTGTTGCTTTTTTCCATTTTTTAGTTTTTTTTTTCATTTTTTTTAAATTTAATATTTAATTTTTTTGTTTTTAAGTTTTTTTATTTCTTTTTTTGAGTTATTGTAAAATTGTATTATTTAATTGTATTTCATATATTTATTTTAATTATTTCAATTAAATTTAGTATTAAAAATAATATTAAAAATTGAAAAAGTAAATTTTTATTATTTTTATGTTTTTAGTTTAATTATTTAAATTAAAATAAAATTTAAAAAATAGTAGTAAAAATATAAGGGAAAAGGGGAAGGCATTTCTCTAGAAGGAGATCGAAAGAAAAGGACAAGGAAAAGTAAAAGCTGATGTGTTTCTAAGTTGTAAGAAGGGAAAGAAGAGAAGAGGGGTGAATACTGCATGGACTAAGGGCACTGAAAATACGTTTGAAAAACCGGGGCTTCAAACTTTCTCTCTCTGCCACGTCAGCTTTAACTTACACCCAAAATTCACTAGAAATGGGTTTGAAGCCCCGGAGCTTCAAACTGGGGCTTCAAACCTTCATTTTTTACATTTTTAAATATACATTTTCTAAAATTAAATTAATAAAATGTAAATAATTTATTATTTAATTATATTGAAACACGAATAATAAAAAAATATATTCATTAAATAAACAAAAGCGACAATAATAAAAAAAAAGATACAATAATAAAAAAACTAAGGAAAATTATATTTCTCCTTGATCTCTTTTATTCTTTGCTCGTAGAGCATTCGTCCAATCTCCGACAACGTCCCGGGTCGGTTGCCATGACTTTCATCTCGGCCTCCTGCTCCTTTAGCATCAACTCCTCCTTTAGCTTCAACCTCTCTTGTTCTTGGAGATTGAACGCCCGAAGTTGTTCAACCATTTCCTGGCTGATTTCGTTGCAAGAAGAAGCGGAAACAGACCCGGACCCTCCCGAAGCCGAGGCAATGGATTTTGCCTTCTTTCTTCCGATCGGCCATAGAATGGGGTCCTCGTCATCAGAATCCACAACGTTGAAGGAAGGGATTTGATCAGTCGAACCGGTAGTCTCGTCGACCTCAACCTCGGCGTCGACGGAGGATCTTTTCCGGAACGACCCGCCGTCGGGATTGTTGAGTTGTTGCCACTTTGGGGAACGACTCAAAATCCTCCAAAAATCGATGGGCAACTTGCCTTGGTGGCCGTTGTCTTGATACCGGGCCGTGGCAAGTCGGAGAACATTGGCGTCGTTCATCCCGCTCCTCCGGGACCGGGAGCATTCCTCGTAAACTCCGATAAACTTTCGGACTTTACGGTTGATGTGGCTCCATTTGGAAGTGAGTTGGTCCCGGGTTCGGTAGGTGTCGTCCTTGTTCATCGCCGTGAAGAACTTCTCCTCGATACGATCCCACATCACATCCTTCGTTTGCTCCGAACCTTTAAAAATATATAACACAATTTTTTAGACACGATTAAATATAATATATATAAATAAAAACATAAATATATTAGAAAAAATAAATTTTTTTACCAATGATAGGATGCTCGGAGACGTCAACCCAAGCCGACGCCAACAAGCACTCCTCCATCAGCGTCCACTGTTGGATTAACCGTGCCGCCTCGGTCATCGTGCCTTTGGCTTTGTGACTTTTTCGGCATGTACTTTTTTTCAACTCGGTCGGTTCCGGTTAAGTCTCCGGAACCGAATCTCGCTCGACGTAGCTCGATTGTTGCGTCTCGTAGATCGGTGCTCGATCGCCCCACTCTTGGTAAAACCACATCGCGGCGTCGCTCAGCGGGAGATCGTTAGGAAAAAAGCCGGAGCCGGAAGGATTCATGTTGAAAAGAGAGGGGGTGATTTCAAATTCTAAAAATTGGGAAGAAGAAGAGATTGAAAATGGAGAAGGTGTGAGAGATTGGGAGGGAGGTTTGAATTTGTAAGAATTTTTTTTGTTTTTGGGAGGGCCAACGGCTATAATAGCCGTTAGGGGGGAGGGAGAGACGAATGACGCAGAGTCATTCGTTTGACGCAGGGCTCCTCACGCCCCGTTAACGCCGGCAGGGGCGGTGTTTAACGCCCCCGAGGCGTTAAATGCCCCGTAACGCCGGTGGGCGTGAGGAGTATACCTAGTGCTCTAAGGCCTTCAGTGCGGAGCTCGGCAATGACATCAGGGGGAGGTGGCAGTGGTGTCGATCACGAACACGGCCCCCTTACCTCTCGTTCGTTTCTGTCGTAAAATACGTGTATTTTTGTAGTCACATGGCTCACACCCCTACCTTTTTAATAAATCTAAATTAAAAATCAACTAGATAAATTCAAGAAAAATACAAAATTTAAAAATGTGAAAATTATACAAAAAAAACTTTTTTAACTCCGTAAATATACAAATCGCCTTACGCTTGCTCATGGAATTTCTTTTTTAACTTCATAAAAGAATAAAATGGAGAAAAGTGCACTGGTTACCCCCAAACTTTTTGGACATGATTTAACTTCGAACATTAAAAAGTGTAACAAATACCTCTGAACAATTAAAAACGTTGCGTTGTTGGTCCCTTTTAAAAAAACAAAAAAATATATATTAAAAACTAAATTTAAATACTAAAATNAGCGCCCGGCCCGTTGCCATCAAAATCCCTGTTTTTCTATGACTAGCTGGGAGTTCGTGGATGGTGCCGCCGAGAAGCAGGCGGAGGGAGTCGCCCCTTGCCACCGCAGAGCACTATATCCCTCCGCTGTCGGTTATCCGCCACGGTCAACCCGTACTGCAGTCCGGTTATCCATCAAAACTTGAATCAACTAACATTTCTAATATAAATGCTTAATAAATCATAAAATAAAAATAGAAACAAAAGCAAAACAAATTACCTCGTATGGAGTATTTGAGAGGGGGGCATTTTAGTCTTTACAAGATGTTTCTAATACTCCATCCGTCCTCAATTTGATTACAAATTGGGATTTACGAGGAGAAATATATTATTTTTTGAAATTATTTTATTTACAAATTGTTATATTGATAAGAAATAAAAATTACAAGTTTTATAAAACAAGAGGTGATAATAATATTTTATTTTATAAATACTTAACGAAATCGCACGAACAAACAAAAATTATCGAGAGGAGAGAGAAAAAAATTGCAATCAAATTAGGAACGAAAGAAGTATTCCCTCCGTCCTATAATATTCTTCCCGGTTTGACCGAGACTCATTTTTAAGGGAGTGTAAAAATTGCTTTGACTTTCCAAAAATGTCCTTCTCTTACCTAGTCCTATACTACCAGTCTACCACCATCTGTCCTCACCTTAATGACCTTATCTCCTAACTGCATTCTTGTTTCACGGTCCTATGTCCACAGCAACATGGCCGGCTTCGTCAGTCTTCTCGAAGTCTGCAAGAGCGGGAACCCACAACCCGCCATTGTCTGTGCATCTTCAAGCTTCGTCTACGGCTTGAACTCCAAAGTCCCCTTTTCTGAATCGGACAGAACAGATCAGCCGATGGGCTTCTACGCCGCCACCAAGAAAGCCGGCAAGGCAATTGCCCACCCCATCGTCTCAACTCTCATATCCCTCACGGCCTCACCTGGACTTTATGGGAATTAGATCTGAAGCTTCACCTTGGCCATCGAATTTCTATTAGGGTATACGGAATTGATGGAATTGGAATTGAATTGGAATTGGGATTCTATGAGATTCAATTCCATAAAATTGAATCCACCAATTTCAATTCATTTTTTGCACTATCACTTCTAAATCCACATAATATTTGTGCTACCAAACAACAGAATTAGAATTGAAGTCCTCAATTCCAATTCCATAATTTGAATTCCTTGTACCAAACGGGGCCTCATTGATTTCTTGGAAACGGATTGATAGCTCATCCACAAATCTGAGAATTGCTCATATGCAAAATACACCTCATCAAAATGAAATACTTTGTAGTTAGCAGGAATAGAAATCTAAGAAAATGTTCAGTTAGGGATGGAAGAAAAATGGGGCGGTGGTAGATCTAGGGTTAGTTGGGCGAGGGTTGCGTAAATGGGAAGCTGGAGAGAGGTGGCTGGAGAAATAAATAATTTTGGGGTATTATAGTCATTACATGTCCATTTAAGGTGTGTGGAAAAATAATTTTAGGACGGAAAAAAAAGGAAAGTGGGAAGAATATTATAGGACGGAGGGAGTATTATTTTTTCCATATACATGAAAAGAGACCAATCGTGCAACGTTTCAAATTGTTCAAAAGTATTATACGCAGTTTTTATGTTTAGGGATAAATCATGCAATTTTCAAATAGTTCGGGAGTAATCGCTGCATTTTTCACAAACAAAATGACAAATACTTTTTGTTTTTGTAAATAATGATAATTAAATACTCTTAAAAATGGTGATTTCTTAATTACTCCCCCTGTCCCAAAAAGTTTGTCCCGTTTCGAAAAAATTGTGTCCCTTAAATCTATCTCATTTCTATTAAAACGTCACTTTTACTCTTTACTTGTTCATACCATACCTATCACATCATACCTTTTTCCTAATAATCTATCCATCACATCCTACTTTACCCATCACATCAAGGATATTTTTGGAAAGTCAACACTAAAATATTCATCCTTATTTTACCACTTTAATCAAAATGTCTCAATCTTTTTGGGACGGAGGGAATATTATACTTGAATCCAACCCACTAGATTCTCTACTACCAGCCTAGTACTTGTAAAAATTTAATGTAAAATATGATCAATGTTTATTATCGTTATACAAAATTAGATTTGAGATTATCTCTTTTCAATATTATTTCATTCACCTCAGTTACATTATCGGAAAAAGACTAAAATAGAAGTAAAATATAAAAATATATCAAATTAGGAGTTATATATTTGTATCTAAAATGCGATTTAAAATATACAATGTCAACCATAACCATATACATTATCAAAAAAATATTATGAAATTCACATATACAGTGTTACATTACCACAGTGCGAACTCTTATTTTAGAGATAAAAGCCGAAGTTCTTATTTTGGTAATTTCTTTATGTTTTACTGCTATTTAACGTGATATCTTTAACATTATTTGGGTGAATTTTTTTCTTTTTAAAGAATATGAGTACTGAGTGATACTTTCTCCGTCATAAATTAACTTGTACATTTACAATTGATGGTCAAATTTCATTACTTTTATTTTTCATTACTTATTTGATAAAATAATATAGTCATGTCACATCTTATTTCGTAGAGTTTTTTTATGTAATTTTATAATATATATTTTTTATTTCCGCTTCATCTTCTACTAAATTATACTTCCTCCGTCCCTAAAAGATCTTCACCTTTCATTTGTTTGTTATCCCCAAAAGATGTTCCTTTATTTAATAAAAAACTATTTTATCCCTTACTTTTTCATACCCTACTTATCACATCATACCTTTTTACTAATAATCTATTCATCACATCTTACTTTTACCCATCATATAAAGGGTATGTTTGAAAAGTCAACACAAAAATATCTCTGCCTTAATTTCCTAAAAAATCAATAAGGGAAACCCTTTCAGGGACGGAGGAAGTACTAAAAACAACTTCAATCAAACATCATAAACTATAGTCTTGTTTGATAACAATGTTTTTCGATTTGCGTTAGCGTCTGAAATAAAATTTTAATGGTACTCCGTATAAATTATTTCTGAAAACGCTAACGCTAAAGACTAACGTGAAATAGACTTTTTCAAATAATAATGCTGACCTCTAATATCGAAATCCAACGGAGCTGAATCAAACGATTTAAATTGAGACGGAAAGACTCCCAAATCTTGTTGGACAAAAATTGGCATGGTATGGAGAGTAATCATCATAATGTTGGGCTCGTTGGTAACACCTGTCGGCTGCTCTCATTGTACACCTATATCCCATGTTTATCTCCCTCCCTCTTCCTCTCTCCATCTTCCCATTTCCTTCCTCCCTCCCGCCAAAAGTGCACGATTTTAGGGTTCTCAAGATTCCCTCTTTATCGGATCACCCATATATGATTACTACTATCCATTAGCTGTCCCCTCACAGAAAATAGGAATAATACTCCCTCCTCGGTCGCAAAATATTTGACACACTTGCTTTTTCAGCTGTCTCGAAATTTTTTATTCATTTTTACGTTTTCATTGGTTATTTGATAAAATAATATATTCTTGACACCTCTTATTTCTAAGAACTTTTCATGTAGTTTTTTGATATATAAACTTTATTTTTTATTTCTATACCAATATTAAAATTATTAATAAAACATATTTTTTCTCTTCACCAAAGTTTTTCAATATCCCAAAATGTTTATACATTGGTGTGTACCTTTTTATTAGTCATTTGATCTTATTACCATTTATTTTGTAAAACTTTGGATGTGGTTTTTAATTATATAAGTTTTACTTTTTATTTTTATACTAACTTGTAAATAAAATCATTTTGTAAACGATGGAGTTTTACACGTAAAAATGTACTTCCTTCGTCATAAAACCATCTTCCCGTTTGTGTTTACGAGGTTTGACTGATTTTATTTTTAATTCAATTTATTTCATTGTAGGTGTAAAATTAAAAAAATAAAATTTACATAATTAAAAACTATATTAAAAGTTCTACAAAACGAGAGGTAACAATGCTATATTATTTTATCAAATAAGTAGCGAAAATAGGTAAAGAAAGTGGTTTAAGTTTAACCGTGTAAATAGTAACTGGGAAGATAGTTTTAGGACGGAAGGAGTAATAGAAAGAGTTTTGGTGAACAGAAAAAGTACAACATACACCAAAATAGAAATTTCATATTTTTATTCTCAAAGTAAGAGTTAAAATGCATATACAACGTCAATCAGGTCAATATATAATACCTAAAACATAATGTTCATGTACAACTTTAAATTCTATTTTGGAAACTAAAACATAATGCTTTCATTTTGATATATTTTCTATGTTTTCCAACTCTCTACTATTTAGGGTGATTAATCATTCTAGTTTAACTTTACAAAACTTAAATAAAAATACGGAGTATTAAATATTACTCCATCCGGTCCTAAAAACATTTCCTCATTCTTGACCACAAATTCTAATTAAGAAAATATTACACAGAGTAACAGATTTGACCACAAATTGTAAGAAAAATATATTTGATTACAATATGATTTCAATATAATTAGGTTCATCTTAGAATATAGTTTTGATATATTAAATTTTAATGTCATTTATTTGTGTAAATTATGTTTAATTTATTATCAAAAAGTGTCAATGTTTGACCAAAAAGTCAAAACATAAAAGATTTTTGCACCGGTGAAAGTAAAGAAGAAATGGTTAAAATTTCTTTAGGAAAAAATGAAAGACATACTGTAACTAAGTAAAGAATTAGAAAAATTATTTTGAGACAAACGAAAAAGGATTAGTTTAGGAACGAAAAAGTATATTTGGAATTATACCCAAATACCCAATTCTTGTCTCATTCTTTTTTCGATCAAGTCTGATTCTTTCTTCTTCTCCGCCATACATATAATCGCCTCTGGGTTCTGACACACAACCCACAAATCTCTCTCGTTTTTTTTGTTTCGTCCGAGGACGATGCTGGGATGTCGGTCCGTACAGTTTCGGGTCTTTGTTCGGATGATTTGAGTCGATTCTCGGGTTGAATTGAAGGGGGTTATGGGCGGGTTTCCGTGGAAGAAGGCGAAGGGCACCGCCAGAATTTCGCAGATGGTGAAGGATCAATTCCGCCGCCGCAAGACCGCCGCGTCGCCGCTCCTCGTCCAGACCGGCTTCCCCACTTCCCTCGTCGATCTCATCCTCAAAAATCACGAACGCTTCAACAAGCCCTCCGGTCCCCCTATAAGGAAACCGCCCCCGCCCAGCGGAACCGACGATCCGGATTTCTCGCCCCCCTCGCCGCCGGTTTCGCCGCCCAGAATCCCGATATCCTCCACGGACATGGACGGAAGTGATAATCCGGCAATCAATTCGAATTGGGCACTTTCTGCCCTTCTGAAGATCTTCATGCTGGTAGTTTTGGCCCTCGGAACGAAGAAATTCGCTGCCGGAATCACATTATCGGCGTTCTTTCTGTTCTTTCTCGATTACTTGGCCAGAAACGTGTTCCAATTCCAGATCTTGGCGACTTTCAGGCGAATTATCACTAGTCAAGTTGTTAGAGATGATGAAAAAGACCATCCAATTGAAGAAATCCAAATTGTTGAGGATGTTCCTTTCAAGGAAACCGACGATCCGTCTCTCGTTGGCAAAGAATTTGAATCCGAAGGGACACAATTTACAGCCGAGATGATAGGGGAAGACGATGGATCATGTGAACTCTCCCAATCCAAGAGGCGAAAGTCTCGGAGGGCGAAAATAAGATCAAAAATGAAGAAACTTTTTCCTTCGAGGAAGGGAATACGAAAAGGCCCGAAAGCCGAGTCGAATCCAACCGGAGAAGCCGAGTTGAAAGATACTTTTCATGACATTCCTCATTCACATGAGGGTGAAGTGGAGACAACTCTAGTCATCATCAAACAAAATGTGGTGGAAAGAAAGGGGAATTATGGATACATGGTTCTTGTTATGGTTGCTCTTCTTGGGCTTGTTATGGGAGGAAAGATTTATGCCCTTACTTTTACCTTGACATGGTGTTTCTTGTCGAAATGGACCGTTTTTCAGAAACGGTCTCTCCACCTATACAGTTAAGGAAATCGAGCGTCTTCTAAAGACATTCTATACAGTCAAGGGTAATGTCTAGGGTAATGTCTGTGTGCACATACACGCTCCCCAGACTCCACTTCTGGGTTTTGGTGGTTGTTATGGTGCTTCTTGTCAATACCAAACAAAGTTACAAGGAGAGGTCAAAGGGGGTTTCTTTGTGAGGATGAGATCAAGTCAAGAAATATCTATATTCCACAATGAAATCAAATCAATGGCAGGCTTTGTTTCATGGAAAGCAAGCAGCAGAAATTTGGCACTCTTTTTTGTCATAATGTTGTTTGCTTTATTTGTGGAATTCTTTTTTTTTTTTGGGTGTAAGAATGTGTTTAGCCAACAACCCCTTAGCTTTTGGTGCAATCTCCAGCCTTTGGTTGGTGTTTGTTTTGTAACATGACCTGTAAATTTACCATACCCAAAGACTTACTGTTCTAACATATCTTCTTGAATCAAATGTCATTTACCCATCAAAAGTTCTCCATTACCATTTTTGCCCCTAGTTTTTTTCTTCCCCTTTCACAACTGTGTGATGTTATTGTGATTCCTCTGTCTTATAATTTTGTTCCATTTTCATTTTTTATAAAAAATTCTTAATGTGTGTTCTCTGTCTCATAATTTTGTTCTTCTTTTCCAATTGATGTGTCGCAATACTTTATTCCATTTTCATTTTTTTGAGACTTTTTATATTAAATAAAGTCGGGGAAAAAAATTCTTGAATCTATTGTCCATGTAGTTTCTTCCCTTAAAAAATTTTAGCCATAAAATATTCACTATATAAAAAATTGTGTCAAATTGAAACATGAGACTAAATTACATGTCAATGTCAAACATGAGCTTAGTTTAAAACATGATAGAAACACGTTCTATAGTCCCTATGACTTGTTTAGACAGTTATCCAAAAAGATGTAAATTAAACTATAATATTAGACTCGAAAAGTTCATATGTTACGTATGACCATTTTAAATCGATGATATCAAGAATCAAAATTTGATCATCGTCTCTTTTATACTTTTATTGATCAACGAAGCTATGTCTCGAATAAATATAAACAGAACTCAGGGAAGGGGAGAGAAGGGCATATACATTAGATCATGTGTTATGGGGTGTGAGGAGGGACTTGACCACCCTCCACCACGCCCCTCTTTCATAACACAGCAAGTGTGAGTGGGCGTTGCCCCAAATGGCTTGACCACCCGTGATGGCTTCTCCCTCTTCCAATTTTCTTTTTAATTTCAACCAATCAAAGTTTAACATATATTCACACCTGGTCTCATCACATTTATTCACACTTATCATAAGACATATTTTTTATCATTTTATATTATACGGAGTATATTTTTAGACCCCGTCAAGTCTCGTCAAGCCCTTCATCAAATCTGCCAAAATTCATAGCTTTACAATAAGGATGAACATTGTATTTCTATCTTATCATCTATGACTGTCAAATGTGTGATAAAGTTGCATTTTGTTGAAATGGTCTAATCTTTGTTAGGGAGACAACCAACATTTTTCATGTGAGGCAGCTTTAGCTATCAGTGCATGTGTGTGCATTCATGAGTTGTGACACTTGTCTTGCTTTATACACAGATTGAATGAGAAGTCACAAATGAAATCTCCCACAAAAGCATTAAAAAAGGTTGTTTTAAAGGTTCTAGAAGTATTAAGAGAAGCAGGTGAGGTTATTTTTAATCAAATATTTCATCCGTCCACCTAAGATCTTCTCGTTATGCATTACGAAACTTGACTGATTTCAATTCAATTTATTTGATAATAAAAGTAAAATTTTAAAATAAAATTTATGTAGCAATGAATTACATGAAAAGCTCTACGAAACTATAGGTGACAATTCAAGACTACATTATTTTATGAAATAAGTAGTAAAAATAAGCAAACAACGTGAGTTAAGTTTGATCTTGTGAATAGTATCCGGAATGATCTATGGCAGATAGAGGGAGTAATTTTTTTACCCTTCGTTCTCTTCCCAATCTAAGTTCTCAGTTTTCTTCTGTAATAAAATATTTCCTCCTTTTCTAATTAATTTATATACCCTGAGTAATTTTTTAGTTGTCCAAAAAAATTACAAACCTTTAATTTTTTACATTCCTAATAAAGTAAACAAAATATGGAAAAATTATCTAGAATAATCTCAATTTTACACAGTCTTTTAAAAATAAGTATCTTTCGTTGTGATACATAATAATCTCAACTTTACTGAAATTTGTGAGTTTTGGATCCCCGTTAAATTGCTAATCGCAGGTTAACAGAAACGGGTTGTTTTGTGCAAGAAAATAAATAAAAGTTGAGATTATTTTTATGATTTTTTATTTTTTTATTTATTTGAAATTTTCATTTAAATTTTAAAAATGGCTTTCTACCTGAATTATTTCTTTTTTGTTTTTTTAAAGATTAGTCTTACTTTATAAAAAAATAAAAAATAGATATAAAAATAATTAAAATGAAAAAAATAACTATAACCATACAAAGTTAATAAAATAAATAAGGTAATCAACAGAAACTATCTCAAACTGGTAAGAAATAAAATAGAAATATGTGGAGTGGTGGTTTTATCATTTTATACACTATACAGAGTATTAATATACGACTTCTTCTTATTTTTTAGGAAAAAATATCTAAATCCTACTTTTATTTGTTCTTTCAAAAAATAAGTTGTATACTAATACTCTGTAAAGTGTTTAAAATGGTAAAACCACCACTCCTTATGATTTTATGTTATCTCTTACCCGTTTGAGTTTAATTTTTATTGATTAGCTTATTTATTTCATTAATTTTGTATGATTTTAATTATTTTTCTCATTTTCATTATTTTTATATCTATTTTTTAGTTTTTTCAAAGATAAGACTAATCTTTAAAAAAAGAAATGAAGGTAGAAAGTCAGTTTAAAAATTTTAATAAAAATTTCAAAAAAAATAAAGAGCGAAAATTCATCGAAATAATCCTAACCTTCATTTTGTCGCGCAAAACAGGTCATTTTCGTTAACCCAGTGTCAGCAACTTAACGCCAACCAAAAACTCACAAAATTTAGTAAAAATTGGAATTATTTTGCATCATAGTGGAACTGAGATTATTTTTAAAAGATCGGGTAAAGTTTGAATTATTCTGAATAATTTTTTTAAAAAATATGTGTTCACTACATTTCTTCTTTTTTTTTTTCTAAACAAATTACAACTTAATTTTTTTAACCAATGTTACCCCATTTAAATTTTCCTTGGGAGGAAAATAATCCTGCTTAATCTGAGAGCTTCACCTTCATCCACATTTATCGTGTTTTGGGATTAGAAGATAGAATTTTAAGGCAAATTATGTCGCCCCATTATTTTTAACGGTCCGGTTCTAAAGATACCGGAGAACGGTGCCACTCCGGTGCCACTGGAATTTTGGGCACCTTTGATGCTTCGTTCGTAAAATTGACGGTTCCTACCCCACGTCCTAACCCACCCCCTAAACCTCCACCCTACTCCCACCCTTGCATCCCCACCCCAACCTCGCCGTAAGCCCCCCACAAAATGTGTGGCTATTATGCATTGCATAATAGCCACACATTTTGTGGGGGGTTTACGGCAGGGTTGGGGTGGGGATGCAGGGGTGAGGGGTTTAAGGGGTAGGTTAAGAGGGGTAGGAATCGTTAATTTTACGAACGGAACATCGGAGGTGCCCAAAATCCCAGTGGCACCGTTCTCCGGTGTCACTAGAACCAGACCGACGGTGGGGTTCTAGTGACACTAGAGAACAGTGCCACTAGCGGTGCCACAGAGATTTATGCTGGAGTATTATTTTCTCTAAGGAAAATTTTAACTATTTTTCTAAACCCGAGAAAGAAAAGCATATGTCAAAATTAGACTGTTGGAACTTATATTTTAAAAAAAGAAGAGTTTGGACCAGGCCAAAACGAACCCAACCCAATTGCTATTAGATCAACTTAACATGTCCAAAATGTTCAATCATGGCATTAGGGATGTAAACGGATATTAATCGGGTCAAATGTGCCATAACCAAATCCGTATCCGTTTATTTTTGTCGGATATCAAATTCGGATACGAATCTTGACGGATACTGAAAATCGAACTTGTATCTGCATCCGTCGTATATCGGACGGATATCGGATGTATCCGTATCTGTTTCTAATTTATAAAACCAAATTAAACAATACTTTAATTTTCAATTAAACAAAATCAAAATATTATTAAACCAAGTATAATTTTTTATGGGATAGCTATTTTCTTATTTTCTTATAGTTTATAATATTCTACGATGACTTCATATCATAAAAAGATATACACAATACATATATACACATATACTTTTCATATAAAAATGTCTTATAATTTGATATATCAATAAAGAAACAAAATAAAAAATAGGAAAAACTATATATAACGGATCAGATACACGGATAAACGATTATTTAAACGGATGTCAATGCAGAGCAGATTATAAACGGATCGATTGTATGATTACCAAATCCGTATCCGTTTAACAACCGGATATCCTTAATCGGATACGGATAATAACCGCTTTTAACGGATGCGGATATTTTCCATATAAACGGATACGGATGCGGACGGTAATCGAATTTTCAGTTGTCCTTTTACAACCCTACATGGCATAAACTAGAGAATGAAAATGTTTTTGGAAACATTCAAAAATAAAATATTATGTTAGCACGATTTCTAACCGTTCCTAACAGAATTAGCACAATACTTTTACATTTCTAACACGATTATCACAGAATATGCGAATGTTAGGGACTATCATTTTTTGTAACTTAACATTTATATTTTTTTCAATGATTGCTTATTTTCAATGATTTTCTTTTCTATGTATTCAATGTATTACTCAATTGATTTTTTATTCATAAATCAACATAATTTAGGACAAAATTTATTGGTGTATTATATGTGTTGATAAATTAATTAATAATTATGTGAATACCATCATGTAACAAAATAATAAGGTTATTATTATAATTTTAATTTGAACCAAACCAGATTTGATATATTTAAATTAAATCTATAAAAATTATACTATTTCATGTCCAATGAGATCTGAGTACCATTTGGGACTGTAACAAACTATATGAACTTTTTCAACCTGCTAAATCACGTAGATCGAATACTGCGAGTCGATGCACTCACTGAGATTCGAACACGCGATCAACTTCTCCTACTACTCAAACCAAGAAGCTCAAAGATTAATCCTTAGTGTTTTTTTTAAATCTTTGTTTATTCTTTTCACATAGTTCAAGAAATTTAGAAACAACGTGGTTTAAAATCATAACGATGATAGTAAAATAATATAAATCATACCCTATCCACATACTAAAATAAATTTACGGCTTGATATATGTGGTAAAAATGTATTAATTTTGGCTACAATTCACATTGGAAGTATGCTGAAATATGCGACTTAACATCGCAATTTGTTTTAAGATACTACTCCTATAAGTTTAGAATGTGTTATACGTAGTATTTGCCACCTTTATTTATTTAAATTGTAGATTATGATCTTTTTTGTCAATTACTTTGTGGTAGCACTAAAAAAGACTGCTTGAAAAGCGATGTAAATTTTCCGTCACCAAAGTTAATTTTTCATCACTGATTCTGTCGTTAGTTACGATGGAATACGTTTCGTCTCTATATTCGGTCGTTTTTAAGAAAATTTTAGTAGTATAGTCGCATCAGATTATTCTTTTAAATAATAAGTCACATGTTTGAAGTTCAGTGGTGATAGTATGGAAGATTTTTGGTTAAAAAGGAATTAATCTTTATCCGTGTTGGAGGTTGCATGTTTTAAATTTAGATATATAATATTATTGTATATTCATCATATATAAATAATCTTTTGAAGTCATTATTTAAAAAACAGAGAAAAAATAAAAAAAACATTAAAAGAATTAAAATTTGGAAGAACTTGGAGTAGAGTAAAAATAATTGGATGTTAATTATTTCAATGTACCGACATTTTAACAGTTCACACTGACAGAAAATGTTAAGGGCTATTTGTTTCAGCCTCTTAATGGTTCAGATGTCTGAATGGCTCAGCACTTAATGGTTCAGACTGTTTGTTTTAGTTTCTTAATGGTTCAGATGTCTGAATAGCTCAGACATTTGCCTTTGAATGGTTAAGTATTATACAAAGTCTGAATGATTAAGATCTCTTATCTGAATTGATAAGCCATTTGCCTTTGAATAGTTAAGCAATATACTAGCTCTTAATGGTTCAGACCTCTTACTGGTTCAGCACTTAATGGTTCAGACCTCTTACTGGTTCTACTCTTACCTATTCAAAAGTTGCCAAACAGCCCCTTAGTTCAATTAAAAAAATTGCACTGATATTTTTTGTCAATGTAAATCAACACACTAACATCACACTAGCATAAAATATCAGTGTAGACTTTTGAGGTACAAATAAGAGTACAAAATTTGGTGTACAAATAGCTTAATCCTTATTTCAATTAAAATTGAGGATGTACTCCACATACTCCCGTCGTCCCTAAATATTTGTCACACTTGTATTCCCAAGGTAAAATAACAAGTTTTTTCAATTCATTTTATTTGCATATTGATATAGAAATAAAAATAAAATGTACATATCAAAAACTACACGGAAAGTTTTTCGAAATAAGATGTGTCAAGAATATTTTATTTTATCAAATAACAAATGAAAACATAGAAATAAACAAAAGTTCTTATGACTGCTGAAAAAGCAAGTGTGACAAATATTTTGGAACGGGAGGAAAAACAAATATACGGACGAAAAAGTATACTCGTATTAGAGTAGGTAGTGTATGGAGTAGTTGTTACTAACAAGTTGTTACTCCCTATTTAGGGCATGTTCTTTAGGACTGGAAAAAAAGAATTGGATGTTGTAAGAAACTGGAAAAAACTGGAATGAACTAGAAAAAACTGGAAGAAAGTGGAAGGAGCTGGAAGAACTGGAAGAGACTGGAAAAAACTGGAAAAAATTTGAAGAAACTTGAAAAATCTGGAAGGAACTGGAAAAAATTCAAAAATTTGGAAAACCTAAATTTTTTTTTAAAAACATTTGTTTTAAATTCATGTTGTTATAAATTATTATTATTATTATTATTATTATTATTATTATTGTTATACAAAAAAAAAGTATTATTATTTTTTAAATACAAAAAACTACTTTTGAAAAAAAAAAAATAATTATAATATAAAGTTAGCATAAATATAAAAGTATTAAATTTTAAAAAGTCTTTGTGGTTATATTGCACCTCAATTTATTTATATAGTATTTATTATAAATAAGATATTTGTAATTATGATTTATATATTACAAGATTTTGTTTTAAATGTCAGACATGTCACATAATGTAATCAAACATATTTTTTCTTTCATGATTGACATTTTATTTTCATTGAAGTCTTATTTTTGGAATAAAGACATAGAACTTTTTTTTTTACATTTTTTATGTTTTACTCTTATTTTAGTCTTTTTTTCTAAACTATTTTGACTTACATTTTTTTATAAAAATTAGAAAAATGAGGAAATTTTAAGTAATAAAGGGAAATGTGAGAGATCTTATGAAAAGTTAGATTAATAAAACATTCAATTTCACTATTTTATCCATAATTTTGTTAATATAATTTAACATATTCATGCTTTCCTATTTTATCATGTAGACTAATATTTAAAATTTTTTTTATTTATATTAAAAAGTTGAAGAAAAAAGTAATGAGTGTGAATCTTAAAAATAGTGAGATGAAAAAAAAATTATAAACTATAGTTATGAACATAACAGTTGTAATAATAATAATAATAATAATAACAACAATCACATTAAAATATATCGTTTTTAGAGTAATTGGAAGAAACTGGAAAGAACTGAAAGAAACTAAAAATAACTGGAAGAAACTAGAAGTTAAGAGTTCGACCACTAAATAACATTTAGACGCCTTGGCCTGGTCGAGGCCTCGAGCTTTCACTGGACGGGAGTGGGGAGGTCCCATAGTTTCTAAATCCACCTGTATTCTAGGGATATTTCTTCGTTTTAGAGTATGACTATTTTGGTTTGATTTTACAAATTTTCATAATTATTGAAAAAATATTCCTACTACATAGGGTTAGGGTTACGTTTCGTTCAAATGATTTGATTAGATTTTTTAAAGATCTGATCTATTCTAGTCAGATTTGATCTGACTTGGCATGATATGATCTGATTGCATATATAATTAAAGTTCTTTCTGATCTAATCTTATATAATTATAATAAGAAAAAGTAATAAATAGAAAAAATAAATTGAACGGGGCGCTACCTAGGCCATTGACATTTATTTTGAGTGTTAACCAATTACGGAGTACATCGATTCCAATTGGAGATTTTATGATGCTTCATTTATAATGTTGATGGTTTATATTTCTAACTCCTTCGTAAATCCCTTATCGTGGCCCAAGCCCAACCTACTCCTTTTTGATTTGTCCTCTAAATTTAGTTGACGGTAAGGTCAATTATTTCGAGATAAATATATAAAACTCATGTTTTGAGATAATAATAATGTTTTACTACTATTTTGAATGATTTCATATCTCAATATTAACATCTTAATTGGATTTTTGTGTTCTTTTATCACAAATTAAATATAATTTTTAATAAATAAATATTATAAAAATTTAATGTATCAAAATTATTTCTTAAAATGTCTATTATTATATTATACTCCCTTTGTCCACCATAGATCTTCCCAATAGCCCTTTTTCTTTGTCCACAATAGATCTTCTCATTTCATTTTTTAACCATTAAAATACCACAACTACCCTCACTTACTTTATTTATTACACCTCAACCACCTCATTTAATACACTCCACCCATTTTCATTAAGGGTATTATAGTAAACTTTCACCTTTTTTCAACTTTACTTAAAAACCACCAAAAGTCAAAATGAGAACATCTTAGAGGGACGGAGGGAGTATTAAATTTGTATTATAACTAAATATACCTTGTTCATAATTTACTTTCGTGTAGTGGGGAATGTATACTACACACACCTTCTTCGGACCTTACTCCTCGTGAGACCTAATGAGTTGTTGGTGGTGTTGTTGTACACTTTGTTTATAACTTGTTCTCTTCCATTTATTCTTTTTACTTATTACTCATTCTTACTGAAATTAAATCAGATTAGAATAGCTTTACACATATTAATAATCACATCAGAACTTAATAAAATCATATCAAAACCAAATAGATAAGTTGAAGGGAATAAAACTTAAGCCAAACTAAGGGGCTGTTTGGCAACTTCTGAATAGGTAAGTGCTGAACCAGTAAGAGGTCTGAACCATTAAGTGCTGAACCAGTAAGAGGTCTTAACCATTAAGAGCTAGTATATTGCTTAACTATTCAGAGACAAATGTCTGATCAATTCAGATAAGAGGTCTTAGCCATTCAGACTCTGTATAATAGTTAACCATTCAGAGGCAAATCTCTTAACCATTCAGACATCTGAACCATTAAGAGGCTGAAACAAACAGTCTGAACCATTAAGTAGTGAACCATTCAGACATCTGAATTATTAAGAGGCTGAAACAAACAGCCCCTAATATAATGATTTCGCGAAAGTATGTTATGCTCGTGTGGCACACTCAAGTTGGTTTTAGAATGGGTAAAATTGCTACCGGGCATAAGGTTCGATTCCCACAATATGTAGTGTGGAAAAAGTTGCATGCACGCCCCACCCCCCACTCTGGCACACTGCCCCCCCTCTGCTTGGTTATCACCGCCTCCGCTCGCTAAATTCTCGAGACCTCAACAATCTCTCACGGAGTAGATCTCACGCGAATATTTGTCTTTCAGGTTATCCCTTTTCATCATCATCATCTTCCTTTTTCTTGAACTGAATTTAAATCCCCTGTTTCCATCAATTCTCGGAATTTGAACTTCGGAATGGCAATTGAATAGATCGAGTGAGGAGGGAGCACGCCGCATTCTGGATTGTCTAGCGAGATTTGTTCCCTGATTTGATTAGATTTGATTTTTCATACCAGCTTTCTTGGGAGTCCAACCATGGTTGCGCAGGAATTCACCGTGGATCTGAATAAACCCCTTGTCTTTCAGGTCAAAATAGCATTCCTTTTTTCTGAGAATTCCATATGTGTCCTTGCCTGTCCCCAATCTCTGATATCATAAGGGTTTGGTCTAATTTTTATCTTTCTTTACCTGTAAAAGTAAAACCCACTTCATTACGGAGTACTTTATTTTTTTTAGTACTCCACAGTGAATATGTAGTTCACAAGATTTGTATTGTGTGACTGCATAATTTTCACTTTTCTTAAACTCCTACTCGGTGTAAGTTGGAGTTTAAGTCAAACAGATAATGTTATTTTTGGGACAGAGGGAGTACCAATGAGAAATGCTAGAGTCACAAACTAAGAAGTCGCAAAATCCACAAACTTATCATTTTCAAACCCCGCCAAAAGAATAAAATGGTCTTAAATAATTATTTATGACATTTTGTTTGTGACTTTAGCATTTTTGGTTTACAATACGCACACGTTTTTGGGACATACCAGAAAAACATGCTACTCCGTAGTAAGTATTATGTTATGTTTTGCTTCTGTTGATGTTTGAGAGTAGTGGGAAAGAACTTGTGCTAGTGATCCTTGTGCACTTTAGGGACAATTCTTGTCATCTTTTAACTCGATACTTCAAACTTTAGTTAAAATTAATATACTATCCGGTTTCTAAATCAAACTCTAGTCTCCATATCTAGTTAGATTTAAGATTAAAAGAACACGCCCTCAATAAAGTTGCAGTTGTGACTGTTTGGAATGGTATTGTAGGTTGGCCATCTTGGAGAAGCTTATGAGGAGTGGGTTCATCAGCCTATTGCTAGCAGAGAAGGCCCTCGTTTCTTTGAAAGTGACTTTTGGGAGGTATTACATTTCTATGTCCCAACTACTGAAGCATATACTATTAGATTTGTTTGAGGTCTGCCATGACTATATTTTTCAAGGTCGGTCACAGAGTGGCTATTAATGTTTATATCCCTGTCTTTTTTCTACTTTTACGTGTTCATTATACTGACTGAGAAGTTTGTTGCAGTGTCATAATAAGTGTAATAATAAGGCTATTATATTTGGAACAGTTTCTCACCCGCACTGTGTGGTGGGTAATTCCTGTCGTATGGCTACCTGTTGTATGCTGGTTCGTTTCAATGTCTCTTCGGATGGGTCACACTGTTCCTCATGTGGCACAAATGGTAGCATTGGGTATTTTCATTTGGACACTGATAGAATACATTCTTCACCGTTTCCTTTTCCATATTAAGACAAAGAGCTATTGGTAACTTCGTGTCTCTCTGGACATCTCTTGCTAAATTCTCTTTGTTTCTGTATCTTGCCTATTAATCTTGGGTTTATATATTGTCACTTTTCACAGGGCAAATACCTTCCATTATCTTATTCATGGTTGTCATCACAAGCACCCCATGGATGGGCTGCGCCTTGTTTTCCCTCCTGCTGCTGCAGCTGTTCTCTGTGTACCCGTATGTGTTTACAAACTAATATAATATTTATACACAGAAAACATTCAATCCAAATGCACATGCAGTTTTTTTTAAACATAAAATGCTGAAATCAAAGCCAGCCCTACACGTCATACTTCTGCATGTGAATTGATCTCAAATATTTGCAACGGTGTGCAATGCTAATTTTGGAAAATGCACCCGGATATAAGATTTACACAAATACTCTATCAGATGAACTGTATAAATTTGACATTAAATGATGCCTTACAACACAATGTATATAGACTGTTTTGCTAAGCTTTTTTTTGAACATTGGAATGTTAAAGCTATCCTTGCCAGCTTTCTATTTTAAAAATTTGTGTTTTCATGCTATATACCATATTTCAGATGTTTGTACGTTCATATATTTTTAGACTTGGCTGCACAGTGCTTCAATATTAGATCTAAGTAGTTCATTATCAAGTATAGTTGATTCTGAAGTGGGCAAGAGTCACACATGTTCACTTAGGTGCAGTGAATCCTTGAAAACTTAGAAAATATGACAATGGGATTTGGTAGCTAAGTACCTACTATATGGGCTACGACCATTGTTTCTTAAAATATAACATTATTGGATGGTTTCGTTGTGATTTATCTTTTCATTGCAAGTGCATCATGCTATTAATTCCATGAATGTGAAGTTCAAACAATACATTCAGTATGGTGAGCGTATTGCTGTAGGCTTAGGTTGAGAAGAACATGTTTAATTAGCCTTTTTGATACGTTTATAATGATGCAGAGTCACTTTGAAAATGTTAAAGCTAAAAGTTACCATTGGATAATATTTGCAAAATGTTGAAGCTAATGCCAAATAGAGCCTTAGCAGGTTGATTTTCCCCATCTTTATAGTCTAATGTGCTGGCTGCTTGATTACAGTTCTGGAACATGGTGAAGTTCTTTTCTACACCCTCTACTACTCCAGCTTTGTTCGGAGGAGGATTATTGGGTTACGTCATGTATGATGTGACACATTACTACTTGCACCATGGACAGCCAATAAGTAATTTGCCACGAAGTCTGAAGGCAAGTGAACACGATTTTACTGAACTTGCAATTGATATTCTGTTTCTATATAAGTCTTCATGTTTCTTGCAAGACTGTTTACTATTTAGATGCATCTTTTTATGTTGTAAAACCAACTTTCTAGGTCTGTCGGCATTTGTAACTGCTTACCCTTTATAGATCCACATTGTTCAAAATTTGGTCTTTCTTTTGTTGTGTTATATCCATGTGCTTTAGTTAGTGTTGCTCTAACTCGTGCCATCAAACTAAGTGCTATTTCACCATTTTGGTGGGATGTGAACAGTATGCCACCAAGTTTTTTGAAATATACAAGGACCCGTTTGGTTAGTGTATGCTCTAGGAGACATGGGTTTTGTTATCTCTCGATATCAGCACCCTTTTATGAGGGTTTGGTGAAGTCTAAACAAGTTCGGATTTGATATCTCCCAATATCACAACCCTTTCAAATGGGGTCTTTTGATATCTCTCGAATATAGGAGATATCAATCCAGGGTTTTTTATATCTCCCTCAGCGGATTGTGTACTAACAACCTTCATTTCAGGTTTCTCAAAACACTTCCATTTCAGATTTTAGAACTCATATAGTCATATAACCCATATCACATGAACCCTACAAAACTTACCTAACGAGGCCTAAAGTGTGTTCTTTTTTTTTAATATCTAAAATATGAGTGATCTTTCTACCCATTGATATGGATCAACTGCTAATGTGATGCGTTCTTCAATTATGCAGAAATACCACTTGAATCACCATTTTCGTATCCAGGACAAAGGTTTCGGCATCACATCCTCATTATGGGACAGAGTGTTCGGAACATTACCTCCATCAAAATCAGATGTGAAGAGTAGATGATTGGATTAAGAAAACATTTGTCCAATGAGTGGTCATTACTAGACAGGCCGTCGTAAGCCTTAGAAATTCTTTTCACCGCGTGCATTCTTTCCCTTCATCAACCTTGGCAGTGTTAGTGTATGAAAATGCTTTGGATACTACTGTATATGCATCTTTCTCATCTTTGTTTATCATTGTTTTGAAATAACCATATCATTATTATGTTCATGTTTTATATTTATGCCAATTGTTCATTTTGAAATGATAGAAGCAGCTTAGGAGCTATGACTTCAGGGGCTTTTTTGTCTTTCAGGAGAATGATAGAAGACATATTGGGGCAGTTTTGAGAGGTTATGGCTTCATTGATGGGTTTTTTTACTCTGGTTTATTTGGGGTTTATGCAGATTGCAGGCTGATTGGGATTTAGGTTTGCGTGTTTATCGGCAACCGTGTGCCGGGTCTACGATTTATACTTGGCATTGCTACCTTGAAAAGTTAAAAGCAGGAAATGGGTCGGGTTCAAGTTAGATTTTACCAGACTTGAATCCGGTCACACTTAATATTCGGTTATAATTTTTTTTACCCGAATCCAACTTACGACCCGCATTCGGACCTAAGTAGTAACACGGAGCCCATGCTGTCTATTTCTGTTAACTTTACCACTCCCTTGTCCAAAAGAATATTATGTTTTTCTTATTTGAATGTCCCAAAATAAATGTCTCAATCTGTTATAGGAATAAAATGGATGGTTCATATTATTAATCTTTACTCAGAATAAGTTTTTATTAGAGTAAATTCTATAATTGGTCTTTTATAATAGAAAGATTGCCTTAATTAGTCCTTTATTATTAAATGTTACCCCGATTGTCCTTTTTTATGGGTATCTTTTTGCAAATAGTTCTTTTTTATCTTCTATCATGTTGGTGTGAATTTTAGGACTAAAAGTATAATTTCACAATGATAATATATCTTTCTTGTTATACATAATTCCAAAGACCGCTCTTGATGCGTCATTTGTTAATAACGATCGTTTTCTACTACAACCATAGTTTACATGTGTGGTATTTCGTTGGAATCCTAGCTCATAATTATAGTCATTACTTTTGTGTTATTCGTCCAACCAATATCAGAATATGTCATTGCACATAAGATTGATATTAAATTATATTTTTAGTTTTTAAATTAATATCAACATGACAGAAGATTAAAAAAGACCAATTGTCGAAAGGCACTCATAAAAGGACTATGGGAGTAGTATTTGATAATAGGAATAAATATAGGAACTTTCCTGTTATAAAAGATCAATTATGAAATTTACTCTTTTTATTACTTCCTCCGTCCCCTATAGATCTCCTATTAGCTCTTTTTATTTGTCCCACATAGATCTTCTTATTACCTTTTTAACATTTAAAATACCACAACTACCCCTACTTACTTTATTTAATACACTCCACTCATTTTCATTAAGGGTATTTTGGTAAATTTTTACCTTTTTCAATTCTTCTTAAAAAACACAAAAAATCAAAACGAGAAGATCTTAGGGGGATGGAAGGAGTCTATAATTTTATTTTTCTTAAATTTTGTGAAAATTCAATTAGGACATTTGTTTTAGGGACAGAGGGAGAATATGTTTATTTAAATCACAAAGTACATAATAACAATTAGGTATATATAGCCCTTAGCCCTACTCACAAGTAGAGAAGATGTTTGAATAAACTTTTAGCTTGAGCACGATTTTCAAGAGGCTTTTAGCTTAGGCACAATCTCATAGTTTAGCATTGAGGACACAAAGGAAGAACAAAGAAATACTCCCTCTGTCCTAAAAAGATCTTCCTAGTCACTATTCATAAAATTAAATTTGTTCACTTTCTTTACATATTTTCGTTAGTTATTTAATAAAATAATATAGTTATCTCACTTCTTATTTTGTTGAATTTTTGACATAGTTTTGAAATATATAATTTTTATTTTTTTAATTTTACACCTATAATCAAATAAATTGAATTAAAAATAACTTTAGTCAAACATTGTAAACTGAACTAAGAAAATCATTTTAGGATGAATGGAATAACATAGACCAAAGTTAGGGAGAAAAGAGTGCAAATAGACAAAAAGTACACAAATTGTTGCTAGCAACTAGATTTGAAGCACAAAAAGCATACCAAGGAGTGAAAAGTACTACAAGGCCTAAGAGATTACTCAATTACTTTGGTCTTTGATCACACTCTTATTTAAGGCCATATTCTTACTAAGAGCTTGAAGTTTTAGCTTTTGCTTAATCCTCTCTCACTCTTCCTGATCTACCTCTTCATCTTCCTTGTCCATAATCGTAAGTCTCTCCGCACTAAGACATCTACACGACTTTACTCCAATGTTTATGGAATAAATTTGAAAAATTGACTTAAAGGCTATTTATGGAATAAATTTGAAAGATTGAAGACTATTTATATAATATCTTAGGTTTATGGACTAAACATGAAAAATCACATATAATTAGAGATCATTTATGAGTAAAATTTACTCAAAGAAAAAAAAAATTAGAAAAAACTATTTTTATAGGTGAAGCAAAAATTCGAAGGCATCCACTGATACGAATATCGTATCAGACATGGAGGAACTTCGAGTCTTTTTTTAGGCTCCAAGAAGAAGAGAGAAGAGAAAGATGAAAAATTTCGAGTATTTTCGAGTTCTCAAGGAAAGAGGAAAATGATTGATAATAATTCATGTTTTAATTCATAGATAAATTTCAAGAATAGTACCTGAATTTTCACAAAAATTTCAATTTGGTACATGAACTTCAAACATTTCACAAAAGGCCTAAACTTTTATCATCCTTTCACTAATAGCCCATTTGTCTATTAATTGATTGAATAATAACAATGAAACGTATCAATATACATATATAGGAGACGCCATAACTAATTGACCTAATGGGTTCGGGCTCATACTAAAACTATAAATTATAGAATATTAATAAATACGGAGTAACTACTAATCTAATTTTTCTTACGTACCGTCCACTCACCAAGATTTGGCAACACACTCTTTTGTTTAGAGACTTGATACTCGTTAAGATCTTTCTTTCATAATTAAACTTTATTATTTTAAAGGCAGTGAGAAATTTGATGTTTATTATTTATTTTTACATTTATGTTTGTTAAAGATCATATACCTCGCTTTATGTTGAATAAAAAATTAATTAGAGTGTGAGTGACATGAATTGTCCATCCTTACCTTCATTATTTAGATTTTTTTTGCCGACTATGACATTTGTTGGCAAAGAACATGACTTGTGTGCCACTAATAACTCTATTATAATTGTAGTAGTTCGTATTAATTTACACATACTTTCTCGGCCTATTGAAGCATTGAGACTTGAGAGTCATCGCCTCCATTGGAATTTAAAACGGTGACCTTCCAATTGGACGAGTCGTCTTGGTGGGGCATCTTGGTATCATTGGACCACATGATCTTTGACTATCACTAACTATTTTTAAAGTGCTAGGGGTACACCTTTGGTGTACCCCTAGCATTGCTCTAAAATAAATATGAATGAATCGGGTGACAACTAAGAAAAAAAATTAGTGTACTCCAAGTTGTACAATTATGAAATGCATCGAAATTTTAATACTCCCTCCGTCCTAAAACTTTCTTCGCGTAGCGTAAAACAAAGAAAAATCCCAAGTTTTTTCAATCTATTTTATTTAAATATTGATATAGAAATAAAAAATACATATTTAAAAACTATATCAAAACTTCAACAAAATAAGTGGAATAAAGCTTTGGAAAAGAAAATTTTAGTACAGAGGAGTAAACGTTAGTTCAAATAAAAAAAATTGCTTTCAAATTTTTACTAATGTAAATCATCACACAACAGAACTACATTCCTCATCAATCCTTCTATCATCTTTTTATTTTCCTGATCTTCTTCAGATGAATCGGTTATTGGGTACTCCCCTACATAGACATTAGAGGAAGAATTTACCCCATACATTTTCAATGCGAACAGAATTTACAGGAAGATTTTACTCCATAGATTTTCTTTTTCATTGTTTATCCCGTTGATATGGAGTCCGAAAAGGGTTAGGGTTTAGGGCTTTAGGCGCCTTCTCTTTCTGTCTCTCTCGTTGTGGTTTGAAGCGGATATGGCGGAGGATGCCACTGCTAAACTGGAGCTTTCCAACTCCTGCTGCGTTGCCGTAAGTTTATGTGTTGTTTTTTCATTTCAAAATATGATTATTTTTCTTCCGAATTTTATATAAAAGGTTGTGGATTTGTCCAATTGGGCATTTGCAGTGGAAGGAAAGGTATGCCAAGTTGAAGGAGAAGTATTCAAAGCTCGAGGAAGGGCGCAATGCCCTTCGCAAGGGACTGTCAATCTATGAGCAACAAATTTCAAAGATTCAATCTGAGAATCTCACGTTGAAGAAGGGTACATTACCCCGATTTTTTCCCCAATTTCTTAGTTGATGCGCTTAGGTCTGAATGAATCTGTCTTGTTGTTACTTGTTATTTCTTGACAAAAAACTTGGAGAGATTTGATGCTTCCGTTATTTCGTTTACACTTCTTTATTGGAATTTTTTTAAAAAGCATTTTGTTTTTTTCAGCTTATGAGGGTGAGAAAGTTCGGGCAGACAATGAGAGCCATGAAAAAGCAAAAGAATCCGCTCTGCGGGCTTCCTTGGAGAGTGAAGTTGCTGGTCTCAAGTCCAATATTCTTTTGATGCAGCACAATCCAAGTCCTGCCAGTGAGGGTTTGGTAAGGGAAAATGCACAACTTCAGAGATTTCTTTCGGAAAAAGTTACCGAGGTTAGCAGGCTTAAGGAGCTTCTTGAGAATGAGAGATCTAGAGCAGAGAAAAATAAAGCTGAGACTGAGAGGAAAAAAGCGGACGAGCTAAGAAAAAAACTAAAAACTGAGAAAAACAAGGCAGATGAAGAGAGGAGGTTAGTTGAAAGTGAAAGAAAAGAGGCTGCGGAAAATAGGCCCAAGTTGGAGGCAGCGATGAAGGAGGCCGATGAAGTTAAAATGAAGTTGGCATTGGAGCATAATCCAAGTCCTGCCAGTGAAGATTTCGAAAGAGTAAAGGCACAACTTCAGGGAGTTCTTTTGGAAAAGGATACAGAGGTTAGCCGGCTTAAGGAGCTTCTTGAAAGTGAGAGATTTAGAGCAGATTCCGAGAAAAAGAAAGCTGAGGCTGAGAGGAAAAATGCTGACGAGTTAAGAAAAAAACTGAAGACTGAGAAAAATAAGGCAGATGAAGAAAGGAGGCTAATTGAAAGTGAAAGAAAAGAGGCTGCAGAGAATAGGCTCAAGTTGGAGGCTGTGATGAAGGAGGCTGATGAAGTTAAAATGAAGTTGAGTTCAAGTCTTGCCAGTGAAAATCTGGAAAGAGAGAAGGCTCAACTTCAGGGAGTTCTTTTTGAAAAGGATACAGAGGTTTTCCAGCTTAAGGAGCTTCTTGAGAATGAGAGATCTAGAGCAGATTCTGAGAAAAAGAAAGCTGAGTCCGAGAGGAAAAAAACTGATGAGTTAAGAAAAAAACTGAAAACTGAGAAAATTAAGGCAGATGAAGAAAGGAAGGTTGTTGAAAGTGAAAGAAAGGAAGCTGCAGAAAATAGGCTCAAGTTGGAGGCTGCAATGAAGGACATCAATGAAGTTAAAATGAAGCTGGCTTTGGAGACATCAAAGGTAGCAGAGATAAAAAAGACGTTGGACACAGAAATAC